GGTATCTATTGATAACTTAAAACCAACAAGTTAATATGGCCCTTTTCGTACGCTCCGATTTTTAAAATGCTCGGTCAAATTCATCCTTGTGAGGTGTACACATGCGGAAGGCCAACGGAGCTTCAATTTCTATTGTTCTGAATGATGGTCCATGGGATTCTGAAACCTATCAATCTTAAAATTACGCGTTTCTTGATAGTAAACACCCCTTCAAACTTATATGAAACTTGTAGAGAACTCAAAGGAGAATACAATGGTATTTATATTAAGTCTCTGGTGTACATTGTTCACCTGATATTTGGTACGACTGTTTTTGCGATTCTTTGATTGTTTTCTAAGGATTAATCAGTATCTGTCATCAGAACATTTTGTTAAGCATTACTAAACATTCTAGACCAAAAAATTTCCTATCGAATGAGCTATCGCTTGAAGCTCTGGCATAACTTTATCATGAAATATTGACAATATTGTCTTGACCAAAAAATCGTCACCAGATTTTTCGCTTGCTATCACAGGCAGATTTGGAGGAAAAATCCATGATTTTGCATGATACTCTTTTTTGACCATATCTCGACAAATACTCACTGGATTCGCACAAAACAAAGACCATTCGATAGCTCTACGTTATATCCATTATAATATAAAGGTTTTAAGTACCAGATGTACGTTCCCTTCATAAATCTGCTCAAAATCATATATTTTATGAGCTACAAGCAGGGGATATTCATTTTTTTATTTTATTTATCTATAATAACCATACCATCGTATAGAGAATTAAAAAGGAAACAGAAGCTACTAAGCTTTAAGCTCTCGTTTACTTAGTAAAATCGTGCGGTATGGCCCTTTGAAAATTGATCATTTAGACTATTTTCCGTCATTACTCATCCATACCACCCTCTATAACCCCACATCAAACATGACCTAGTCATAAAAATCACCTTCTACAACTTTTACTACACGAACATTCCACATTCATATAGTAATTTAAAAAGTTTTACTAGCAGCATCTATTCAAAATTAACCAATTGTGAAAATCTTAAATTTCTCGGCAACTATGTCATTTACGCAAATATAAGTTGCACCATCGTTTAGAGGGCAGAAAACTGGTATAGGAACATGCTAGTCTCAAGGCTCTAGCATCAATATTTGGAAAATCGATTTTCGATTGTCCAAAAGTTGAAAACCTCAAAATCAAAAAAACATTTTGTACATCCAGGTCCTCATAGGTAAAAAAAATTAGAATCTCGTTAAACTTAAATATGTTGTAGAATAATGATATTGGAGCAACTTCTTAGTGGGACTATTATATTGGAAATGCATACTTCATGAGATAATCAACATTGGAGATGCTATTTTTAAGCGGGGGAATATACATACTTAAAATTGGGAATCTTATTATTCCTGAATAAAGCAAGCTACAGTTGTCTAGTCTTGACAACAAAATTCTTCAACATGTCAGGTATCTATTGATAACTTAAAACCAACAAGTTAATATGGCCCTTTTCGTACGCTCCGATTTTTAAAATGCTCGGTCAAATTCATCCTTGTGAGGTGTACACATGCGGAAGGCCAACGGAGCTTCAATTTCTATTGTTCTGAATGATGGTCCATGGGATTCTGAAACCTATCAATCTTAAAATTACGCGTTTCTTGATAGTAAACACCCCTTCAAACTTATATGAAACTTGTAGAGAACTCAAAGGAGAATACAATGGTATTTATATTAAGTCTCTGGTGTACATTGTTCACCTGATATTTGGTACGACTGTTTTTGCGATTCTTTGATTGTTTTCTAAGGATTAATCAGTATCTGTCATCAGAACATTTTGTTAAGCATTACTAAACATTCTAGACCAAAAAATTTCCTATCGAATGAGCTATCGCTTGAAGCTCTGGCATAACTTTATCATGAAATATTGACAATATTGTCTTGACCAAAAAATCGTCACCAGATTTTTCGCTTGCTATCACAGGCAGATTTGGAGGAAAAATCCATGATTTTGCATGATACTCTTTTTTGACCATATCTCGACAAATACTCACTGGATTCGCACAAAACAAAGACCATTCGATAGCTCTACGTTATATCCATTATAATATAAAGGTTTTAAGTACCAGATGTACGTTCCCTTCATAAATCTGCTCAAAATCATATATTTTATGAGCTACAAGCAGGGGATATTCATTTTTTTATTTTATTTATCTATAATAACCATACCATCGTATAGAGAATTAAAAAGGAAACAGAAGCTACTAAGCTTTAAGCTCTCGTTTACTTAGTAAAATCGTGCGGTATGGCCCTTTGAAAATTGATCATTTAGACTATTTTCCGTCATTACTCATCCATACCACCCTCTATAACCCCACATCAAACATGACCTAGTCATAAAAATCACCTTCTACAACTTTTACTACACGAACATTCCACATTCATATAGTAATTTAAAAAGTTTTACTAGCAGCATCTATTCAAAATTAACCAATTGTGAAAATCTTAAATTTCTCGGCAACTATGTCATTTACGCAAATATAAGTTGCACCATCGTTTAGAGGGCAGAAAACTGGTATAGGAACATGCTAGTCTCAAGGCTCTAGCATCAATATTTGGAAAATCGATTTTCGATTGTCCAAAAGTTGAAAACCTCAAAATCAAAAAAACATTTTGTACATCCAGGTCCTCATAGGTAAAAAAAATTAGAATCTCGTTAAACTTAAATATGTTGTAGAATAATGATATTGGAGCAACTTCTTAGTGGGACTATTATATTGGAAATGCATACTTCATGAGATAATCAACATTGGAGATGCTATTTTTAAGCGGGGGAATATACATACTTAAAATTGGGAATCTTATTATTCCTGAATAAAGCAAGCTACAGTTGTCTAGTCTTGACAACAAAATTCTTCAACATGTCAGGTATCTATTGATAACTTAAAACCAACAAGTTAATATGGCCCTTTTCGTACGCTCCGATTTTTAAAATGCTCGGTCAAATTCATCCTTGTGAGGTGTACACATGCGGAAGGCCAACGGAGCTTCAATTTCTATTGTTCTGAATGATGGTCCATGGGATTCTGAAACCTATCAATCTTAAAATTACGCGTTTCTTGATAGTAAACACCCCTTCAAACTTATATGAAACTTGTAGAGAACTCAAAGGAGAATACAATGGTATTTATATTAAGTCTCTGGTGTACATTGTTCACCTGATATTTGGTACGACTGTTTTTGCGATTCTTTGATTGTTTTCTAAGGATTAATCAGTATCTGTCATCAGAACATTTTGTTAAGCATTACTAAACATTCTAGACCAAAAAATTTCCTATCGAATGAGCTATCGCTTGAAGCTCTGGCATAACTTTATCATGAAATATTGACAATATTGTCTTGACCAAAAAATCGTCACCAGATTTTTCGCTTGCTATCACAGGCAGATTTGGAGGAAAAATCCATGATTTTGCATGATACTCTTTTTTGACCATATCTCGACAAATACTCACTGGATTCGCACAAAACAAAGACCATTCGATAGCTCTACGTTATATCCATTATAATATAAAGGTTTTAAGTACCAGATGTACGTTCCCTTCATAAATCTGCTCAAAATCATATATTTTATGAGCTACAAGCAGGGGATATTCATTTTTTTATTTTATTTATCTATAATAACCATACCATCGTATAGAGAATTAAAAAGGAAACAGAAGCTACTAAGCTTTAAGCTCTCGTTCTTCACCAACCGGTTTGTAATAGAACATTTTGAACGTCTGATCCATCGATCTATTACACGTAATCATTCGTAGTCAACGAGTTCTTATAGTTTCAATCCATGGACGAAAGCGAAATCCCTGCCGGGTGTTTGTTATGTGGAATGGGAAAATCTCATTTTCCATGAAGCTTTGAATTGTGTTATTCAGGGGCAATCTGTTTTTTTTGTGATATTACGAAGGGTGCGTGTACAAGGTGCATCTTGCAGAATCAAAGAGTTTCATGATTTTGTATATTCAATAATATATAATACGTTACATGACGATATAATACTAGCAATATGGAACCAAAGGGAAAGAGAAACTCGATGTATCGTCATATTCAAAGCTTGAAGGGATTCGATGCACAATTGTTGCTGTTTTTAAACAATGACCTTTATCACCACCTCTTATTTCTATAAACAAGCTTGCTCTGAACTATGAAACTGAACATCACATGCTATGAAAGCCAGTGAAGAAGCTCCCACGTCTCGTTCGTAAAGTGTGAAAGATAAAACTCTCGAGTACGCACTGAATCGCACCTACACGAACATATGAAAGAAATATGAACTGAAATGATCCTTTTTTTTTTTGCTATAGTACGCTCTACAATAGGATGTAGGCTTTGTTAAAACTAAGAGTTTATAAGCTTTAAAATGATAATTTGTTTCATGAATTCATAATTGAATGAACATGCTAACTCTATCTAGACGCCACCTCCAGGCAAGAATATCCACTACGGCATCTGATTTTTATTCAAAAAAATGCCATAGTCTTGATTTCATATTTCATAAAACTTCGTAAAACGAAGTAAAAAAAAGTAAAAGAAAAAAAAGAAATCAGAATAAGAAAAAAAGGGGAAAAAAACAAAAAGTCTTAAATAGGCCACTGTAATTTTGTCATTAGGCACAGCATCCCATGGCCTGGCCTGGACCAAGCCATTCCAAAACTGGCGATAATATACACATTAAATCCGAAAGCTGCCAATGCCAAATATCGCGTATGAAAACAGCTAGTACTTTTGCAAAGCTAAGGTGCTCTTTTTATTTAGCTAGTTTGAATATAAGAAAGCGATAGTAGTATCGATTTTGCATGAAAAATGAAGGGGAGGTGAGAGATGAGAACAAACTATGAGAAATTTATAAAAGAATATCGGGTATTATTGAGCAATGATTGTTTGTGTGAGTGAAAGAATGAACAAGATTTTGGATATAAGCAAATGGTTGAATGAAAAAGAGATGGGATTTGGAAGATTACAAAGTAGACAAGCTGCTCTCCTCAGCGTCTTTGGCTCTGCTACTATCCTTTGAGCTCTCCTTGTCGTAGCCCAGTTTTTCCAATATATCTTTTCCACGAGGGTTAGGCAATGGCATGTGCACTTGACTAATTGATTCCGGCTGATCTAGAGACAATGTATAGCTTGATGAAGGTTCTTTGATACTTTCTCCTGGAGCTGATTCAAATTCATTGACAGAGAACTCGATATCTGGATTCATAAATGGGCCATCATCGTCGCTTTCCAAATCAAAGAATGTTGTTGATTCCTCTTGTTCATTGTTATCCGAGAAAAAGCCATTGTCATCATCATCTAACGCTGTACTTGATCTTGCAATTGGGACGTCTTTGAATTTGATAGTTGTATCGACAGTTTTAGCAAATAGATCACTATTTTCCTCGTCATCATCATCGTCGTCGTCTTGATTGTAGAAATCATTTTTTTCATCCTCTAATTTGTCTTGATCGTTGTTAACGCTGGATTCCTCATGGCCAGGTGATTCAACACCGAATGCTGGTAGAAGGAACTCATCAGGCATCAGACGTTGCTCTTCTTTCTCTGTTGCTTCAACCTCATTTTCTTTGCCTACATAGTTTTCTTTGCTTGGTTTGTTGCTTGTGCTGTTTCCACGGATGTGTGGAATCATGACTGAAAGAGTTTTATCATTGTCCTCAAATGATTGTGATTCAGCATCGGCATCTTTGTAGATATTGATAGGAGAAGAGGTCACTGCAGTCCATTGTGTATTCAAATCATCGCCTTCTTGGATACATTGTGTGTTGAGTTGAAGTTGAGAAGGTGTATCTTGAGAATCACCATGTGTTTGACTATTCAGGCTTTGACTATCCTCAACTGGGCTGTCCAATGCTGCTTGGCTATCAATGGCCTGACTGTTGACATCCTGGCTGTCGAAAAAGCTCTCTTGGCTATCTCTTATTGGTGGTGTAGGAGCCTTTTCGACGCCCTTTTCAATATCTTCATCGCACAAGACGGCAAAGCTCGGAGAAGGCTTCTTTCGCTTTGGATGCAAGGTTTTGAAATTACTGACACTAGGGATGGTTGGGTTTTTCGGATGCTTGTCGGTCAAAGGGTGGCGAATGACGGTTTGATTTGTTTTTGCTGATAATCCGCCCTTGACGTTATCAAACTGTCGCTTGATGGGCTCTGCATCGGATGGTACCAATACTTTCTTACGATGTTCATCATTGTGAGGGGTGTTTTCATCGTTTTCAAGCTGACGTTTGCTAGATGGTTTTGACATGGTTGACGCATCAGATTTTGACACCGGTTTGAAGTACGAATCAATCTTTTTATTCTGTGAATTTTGCAGCTTCTTTTTCCCTTGAGCAGTTGCCATGCTTACAGTTTGTGAAAATAATAGTTGAATGAACGCAAAAACGCAGCAAAACGGCGCGATTCTTTTCCCAATCAAAAAGGCATTTGTTGTATCGAATATCGGCTGTTTAATGAATCATAGAGGTGAACGTTTAGTGACGTCCAGATGTTGCGTCACGATAACTGGCAAGATGTTTGAGTGAGGACCATTAGATCTTGTTTGTGCGGGATAGAAAAGAACCCCGGATTTGATGGAACTTCACAATCATATTTTGTCCCTTTTTTGTACCAAAATAAACAAGTAAGCGCATCAGGTAGTGTCAAATTCGAGCCATTAACGTGTCGATTAGGACCTTCACTTAACTCATATCTCATACACCACCCCCCCACTTTAAGAATGTCTACTCAAAAAGAAGCCATCTTCACACATACCAAGTATGTTGACCCTACACCTCTCCCAGAGTCAGTTCCCAAAGTCGACGAGATTGGTGCTACTTCAGCTCCTTTGAAGAGTGCTTCATTTTTCATCGGACAGTACTGTAAAGAATACAATGATGATTTCATGCTCTGCAAGAACGAAAACAACGACCCCAAGCACTGTCTTTCTGAAGGTAGAAAGGTCACCAGATGTGCCATCAATTTGTAAGTTTATTATAGGCGTCAATTGGAGATTAGCAATGGATTAACACCATCCAACACATATTTAGAATTACCAAGCTTCGAGAGAACTGTGGAAAGGAATTCGAAGCACACTGGCAATGTTTAGAAAAGAACAACCAGGAATTTTACGCCTGTCGTACACCTGAACGTACTTTCAACACATGTGTATTTGAGAAATTGGTAAATAATAATGCGGGATAGGAGTCTTTGGGAGATGATTGCTGATGAAACGATGTGTAGGGTTTGGAAAAGAAGATTCCTGGTACTGCAGAGGGTCAAGAGCAAATTCATAACAAGAAGAACCCTGTCATTAGAACTCACTTGAAATAGACGATGAAGGGGATAGTATACATATATCTTTTTGTTAATGGAATAAAGCATCAAAAACGTACAGCTCAAATGAAAACGGATGATGTGTATGTCAAAACTACATGTGTGTGTAGGTGTCAAATCAAGGTCATATCGAAGTTAGAGGATCTCTGTCAAATACAGGAACGAATGAAGAGAGCATACATCACATAATGTCGGTTAATTCAGTCAAAATCAAACGCTAAATATTCGAATCAATGCCTACCGACGTAGATGGCATTTGTAGTTTACATGCCAACATAAATCTAGAGATGTGTCCAGCAGAATCTCTTTTTGCATTGATCCAAATGACTGATCTCAATCTGTTGGCAGTAGTTTTATATCGGTAGCATGGGACGATTGCCCAATTTGATCATTTCTATCCATTGATTGAGCAAACATATCTCTGATCTTTGCTTATTTCCAGTAGATATGTGTAAATGTCGATGTTCATTGCATTTTGCTTCAATGCATTGACAAAATAAAACGGTTGCTGTGGCAATGGCTCAGAGAGACGCTTAATATGATTGGAAAGACGAGCACAGTAAGTGACTAGTGCCAAACGTCCAAGCTGCTGTTCCAAGTGACGTACGCCTTTTATTCGCATGTTGAAATAGTCGACCTTACGCGTCCTTTAGAAATACTGGCACACATCCTACATTTTTGAACAGGTTTCTTTTATTTGTTAAATATAATAATACAAAATGTCTAGTTCCTCAAATCAACCAGAGCAAGATCCCAAAACAAAAGCCTTGAACGGTTACAGAAGGAGACTCTTGGAGCACCGTGAACTGGATGCTAAATTGAAAGAAAGTAAGGCCTCTTTTCTCAAAATGATCATTGAAGGCGATTCAACTCACATCTAGTAACTAGTGCGTCTTGGTTTAAGAACACTTGATAAAGAATACGACAAATCTGAAGACGACATCAAGGCACTGCAAAGTGTTGGCCAAGTTATCGGTGAAGTATTGAAGCAATTGGACGATGAGCGTTGTAAGTAGTCTTGTGTAGAAAGTGTGTCATGAATAAATGCTAATGGAAATTGCCATAGTCATCGTCAAAAACACAAGCGGCCCTCGTTATGTTGTAGGATGTCGTAATACAGTTGATAAAGAAAAGTTAAAGCAAGGTGCTCGTGTCGCTCTTGATATGACTACCTTGACCATCATGCGCATTTTACCTCGTGAAGTTGATCCCCTCGTATACAACATGTCAATGGAAGATCCTGGAGATATCAGTTTTGCAGGTATTGGTGGTCTTTCAGAACAAATTCGTGAGCTTCGAGAAGTCATCGAGCTACCATTGATGAATCCTGAGCTGTTTTTGCGTGTTGGTGTCAAGCCTCCCAAGGGTGTTTTGTTATATGGTCCTCCTGGTACTGGTAAAACCTTATTAGCAAAGGCCGTTGCTAGTACACTTCAAGTCAATTTTCTCAAAGTGGTTTCCAGTGCTATTGTCGACAAGTATATTGGTGAAAGTGCTCGATTGATCAGAGAGATGTTTGGCTATGCAAAGGAGCATGAGCCTTGTATTATCTTTATGGATGAAATTGATGCTATTGGTGGTCGTCGTTTCTCTGAAGGTACTTCTGCCGATCGTGAAATCCAACGTACGTTGATGGAATTGTTGAATCAAATGGACGGCTTCGATTATCTTGGACAAACAAAATTGATCATGGCTACAAATCGACCCGATACACTCGATCCTGCATTGCTTCGACCAGGTCGTCTTGACAGAAAGATTGAAATTCCCTTACCCAACGAGCAAGGTCGCTTGGAAATCATGAAGATTCATGCTGGTCATATTACAAAGCATGGTGATATAGATTACGAAGCTATTGTCAAGCTTTCAGACGGTTTCAATGGTGCTGATTTGAGAAATGTGTGTACAGAAGCAGGCATGTTTGCTATCAGAGAAGAGCGTGATTACTGTATTCAAGAGGATTTCATGAAGGCAGTAAGAAAGGTGCAAGATGCAAAGAAATTGGAGACCAAGTTAGACTATGAAAAGGTAGGCTGAGAGTGTTTTGGAGGATGCATTCGATTGTTAATCAACATTTTTGTGAATTAGATTTAAGTGGTGTTTTGTACGCTTTTTTTTATATATATACTCAAACTGCAATAAATGATTGAATGGCTGAATCTTGGTTGCATGTTTGGACTATGATGGAATATCAATTAAATGTGATATCATATTGAGGGTTGGTTTTTTTCGGACATGTGGGTAGTTGCATTACAGTGGATTGTCAAAGTATGTCAATCTGACATTGGAGCCAAGTACATACCAGTGTACATATGAAATATAGACCAATGTCCAATACAAATGACAAGAAAACAAACCGTATTTAGTTGGCTTTTTATTGAATTACAGTGTAAATGTCACTCCCAATGTCGGCAATGACTGATTTGATACTCTAATTCAACAATTGCTTTACAAAACCACATTTCAAATGTGACTGGAGCACAGTGACAGTTTTCAAATAATCAAGAAAAAAATCTTGACATGAACAAAAAGCCCATCTTCCATCTACTCTATCATCGCATTAAGCAACAATGTCAGAGAATAAGGGACTGTTTGCCATGTTTGGTGCTGCTGCACCTGCTCCAGCATCTGCTCCCATCAAAAAGGCTGAGGATATCAAGACAAAAGAAGAATTAGCCCGAGAAGCAGCTTATGTTTTGAAACACAAAAAGCAAATCAACGGCGCAGTATCAGCAACTGCAGCAGCCAATGGATCCAGTGGAGGTGGTGCCTGGAAGACTGCATCAAAAAGAGGATCGAGAGGACTCGCAAATTGGATCAAGGACAAATGCTCATCACTGTCAATGACCCTTTAATTGCTCGCATTTTGGTCCGTTTGGATGGCTACATTTTCGGTGCTCAACAACTTCGCATTCGATTCTTTGATCCAGTCTTAGCAGCAGCAGTGGCAACATCAGCATCTCCAGCAGCATCAGAGGGCAACAAAAAACTATCGACAATAGACATTATGCGAAACTTTCTCAAGAGCCGTTGGAACGGAGAGATCAAGTTCCTGAATTTGGACGACATGAGTGCCGACCCTATTTTGAAGAAATCTGGGATCAAACCTCCTGGTGCGCCTGGTGCAAGTGCTAGCGTAGGCCCTGCCTTGATGAAGCTGGCTGGTGAGATGTTTTCGGATGTAGTAACCATCTCCTTTGCTCGTAACCACCTGAAAAACGTGCAACAAATTTCAACATTGGCACAATACCTTCCCAACATTCAAAACCTCTCGCTGCAGGAAAATTTGATCAAAGAATATGACCATCTGGAGGCTCTGAGTGGCACAGGCAAATTGAAGTATCTGAGAGAACTGTTGATGGCTGGAAACCCTTTGCGTGAAAATGAAATCAAACAAAGAGGCAATGATCGTGCCTACATCCGTCAAATGGTCAAACGTTTTCCCTCTTTGGTACTATTGGATTCATGTCCAGTTCAACTATCTGAGCAAGAGATTGCCACTGTTCATAAGACTGGCCGTGTGTTGCCTCTGGACAACAAGCCCAACCTGTTCGATAACGAAGTCAGCCAGTCTGCTGCTATTGATTTCATCTCCAAATATTATCAGCAATTCGATACCAACAGAGCCGTATTAGCAGCTCTCTACGACAGCAATGCTATTTTCTCGGTTACGTCCAATGTGAAATTGAGAGCGCAACAAAAGCTGAGACGAAGGGATAAGAAGAAGATGATGGACGACGAAGAAAAGTTGACTTGGGCAACGCTCAGCCGAAATTTGATGGGGAAGTCAAAGCGTAAGTAGAAGGAAGATGAGGCAGTGTGTCAGATGTCTAATAAAATCCATACAGGCCAAGAAGGAAAGGGGCTTATGGTTGGGCCTGAGGTGATTGGAACCACATTATGCAGATTACCTACTACCATTCATGATTTGCAAAAGGTGGAAGACTTTGTTGTCGATGCTCATCAATCACCTGTTGGGCTTTTGATCAGTTTACATGGCGAATTCAAAGAGGAGGAGTCTACACCACCACTTTCATATGATCGTACCTTTTTACTTCGTCCTGCCACACCAGATTCACCGTAAGTCTATGCTACGTTTGATCCTCTTGCAGTTACTAACACTTGTTGCAGTGCTATGGCGTCTGGATGGCCATATATCATCATGAACGATATGCTGTGTGTCAGAGATTATATTGGCAACCAAGGCTTCAAACCTCAAGCTGCTGTGCCTACAAGTATATTTGCTTCATACCCAGGTGTATAAAGCTGATACTCTACTATTATTCTCTCCTCATCATTGTATAGACATGACACTTTGTTACAAAATTACTCTCATCATTTAATTCCACACACATTTAATAAAGATCACTGTATCACCGGATTCTTGACACATTTATTTACAACAATTTCTCCATTAAATCGATAAATCCTGAGCTGTAGCTACCACCAAACATGGCATAGTGATTCAAATGATGGTACGCTTCATAAATCAATGCACGATCTGCTCTTCCCTCCTCCACCAACTCGATATTGGAGTCATTGACCAGTGTATCGTCGTAAGCATCAAAGCACTCTTGCGTAAATCCTCCAAACATTCTCATGATACCAAATTCAGTTTCATAATGGCCATAGAAGCATGCAGGATCATAGATCAGTGGACTTTTATCAGCTACTTTGGCAGCCATGTTTCCATTCCAAAGATCGCCATGCAACAGCGACGGATATACCTCGCCCAATGCATCTTTTCCAAGCCAATGTTCCAGTCGAGAGCAAAGGGATGACCCCAATTGATCAATATCTCTGTTTTGACCTTGCACTTGCTTCAACAACGGCTCTAAACGCTGTTGCTTGTAAAACTGCAGCCAGTCAGACGACCATGTGTTGTCCAAGATGGTTGTACCGCACCATGAGGTAACATCAAACCCAAACTGATTTTCTGCTGACGATGGACCTGTATGTAATTTGGCTAATAAATGGCCCAACTCCTTTTGTGTGTTTGCGCTTGGTCTCGTCATGGGGACATATTCTGTGACAATGTAAGCTCTCTCCTTTGCGTGATGATGTATTGGTTTTGGCGCGAAACCAGGAACAGCAATATTGATACGCTCTAATCCCAAAAATTCGGCAGCAAACCAATCTTTGGCCCTGGGATCAGCATTTGTCTTTTTGAGCAATATGTGAGTATACACCAGTACATGGCTCTTGTAGATCAGTATGCTCACCTTGACAAAGAAATCTCTTTTATCTGTCTTGTAACAAGCTGCTTCACTGATACAACCTCCTCCCAATGTCTTTATGTTTTTGACGCTATTACACAAACCCAATCTTCCGAGTTCAGATGATATAAACTGTTCAACCTCTGACATGTATGTAAATGAAGCTAAAGAAAAGGAGTATTCTATCAATGCTGAATGATCCTAATTCATATCTGGACACATCTTGACGTCACACAAGTCAATCCAAACCGCTGGTATGGCCTACTAAATGTTTAGCATCTATAGTACAAGCACTTGATTTTCGCATTGATTGCCAAAAAAAAAAAAAAAAAAAAAAAAAAAAAAAAAAAAAAATGCTATAATTTATTTGGAAACCTGAATAGGATTGTTCGTGAGCCATGACATTTTACTGCCATGGAATATAGGCCTAAATGGCAATTGAGAAAGAGCTGCAATTACAGCAATCATACGTCATTGACATGTTGAGCAAAAGCTTAAATTCAAATCATCTGGGTGGTTTTCATCCACACTGTATCTTGGATGTGCGCAATGGATAACTTTGCTAGGAAAAGCACTCTTTTCTCTTATCGCATATACGGACCAGGTTATGACATGATTTGAGTGAAACTGAGACAACTGCTAAATTAACTGGAAAGCTTAACTTTCTGATATGCTCAACAAAACTGTATTTGCTCGTTGTAGTGCATCCAATCTTCCATTTTGCCCCTTGGAAATATGTGACTATTGGGAGCACACTCGTTTCAGACTGAAGGAAAGAGATTTCACGCGGAAACCAAAGCATTGTCGTTCATTTATTACAATATGGTTATATCTGAAGAAGAAGCAAACGCTACCATCGAAAGATTACAGCAGAAACTCACAAAAAACCTGCAGAATATTGACAGAAACTTTGCTGAATGTCATCAAATAGTCAATTCAGAAATCATTCCCAACCTGGACAAGTACAAAGCGCAAACAAGCAAAATATGGGAGAGCAGCAAAGTAATGTCTATGGTCCATTCAAGATATAAACATGCTTACGCTTTTATACAACCAGATCTGGTTGTATTTTTTTGACAGTTTGAATCAAAATGGCGATTTAGAGGAGGGTTCAGGAAACACCACCAATCGACCTCCATTTCCAAACGACTCAACGATGGATTCGGCAGACAGAGCGTCCTGGTCTGACAGAATACATCACAGTGTATCCATGGACGACATTACCGATGTTGGCTCCTTGACGCGTCTGCGACTCAGCTTACAACAACCTGTAACGACAACATCGCAGGAAACAGGCATGATGCGGCCACCTCATACCACGAAATCAATATCAACAGGATCTACGACATCATCTTCTTTCAGACGAGACCTGATCTCTTCTCCACCTCGCACCATACCATTTGGAAAGCCTGAATCATCGCTTGCAGGAACACCTATTAGAGAGGCTTCTATTATCATGACACAGAATATATTGGAGGCAAGCGGTATCCGCAGCTCAGATGACGATTCGCTTGATTTTGATCCAGAAGGCAATAAGAAAAAGGCAACGTCAGAAGAGAAGAAGCCAAGCCGCCAGCCCGCAAATGAGAATGCTGGCAAAGCATGGGACGACACCAATATGATGGAAGTGGATGATGAAGAAAGTCGAGCTCGATTCAACCAATTCTTCATGCAAAGACAACATCAAAGTGCGAACACACCCGATATTGAAGGGTCATCCAGATGGAGAAAAGTAGACAGATCGCCTAGCAACCACAGTGCCAGATTTGAATCGCCTTTGGCTGGCGCCCGAACCAGACACCCCATCTTGCAAGACATGACAGCAACAGAGCACCAACAGCAAGACATGTCAGATGCAGACGTAGGCGCATACGAGTTTTCTGATGCCATGCCGCAAGATAGACTGGAAGAGTACCATGCCAGGGAGAGACAGAACACCTCTGGGTCGGATTTGACGTTTCACTCTGGATCCAACATGACCATGATCTCTGGCAGCACAGGACAAATACCCGCCAAATTTGATCTGCAATACTTTCCAGAGAAGTTCCGTGTGCCGCCCGGCTCTGTGAAATTGACTCGAGTCTACAATTATTTCCACGACCGACCAGGCATCATGTCGACTGTGCAAGATGTCCATGTTCATTTGCCAGATGTGTCGGTGGAGAGTATTGAGCTACTGATCCATGTGCTTATTCGGCGAAAGTTCCTGAAGAAAGTAGGCGATAAAGAGGCATGGACATTGAGGAGATGATGGCATGGCTTCTATTGTATCTGCATGGATAAATCGTGCGTCTGTTTTTTTTTTTGTTGTTGTTACTATGATTTTTTAGTGGAACATGACGTATTTTGAGGTCCTTGATTTGATACACTCATTTCCATGTACGTCATTTGGTCGTATATCTTGTTCAAAATCGAAAAATCTATTTTTTTAAAATTACATAAATTCATTCTAGATTTCCAGTTCTTTTTACGTTTTTCTCTCCTCTTCTTCTTTTCCACTCATCAAATCAGACTATCATCACATTATTGCAGTATGCTTGCACAAATCAAGAGTATTTTTAAGCAGAAAAAGACCTATCCTACCAAAGGTAAACATCTCCCTGAGTAATTGATTGGTATGTGTCTCTAACATTGCGCCATTAGATTTGACTGCGGAAGAGAAGCAAAAGAACAAAGATGTGGCAGCTCGCCTTGTCCAAGAGGAGAAGCAGCGCAAGACTGTATTGCCTCAATACCCCGGTTTAGAACGCTTTGAAATGATTGAAAAGATTGGCGAGTAAGTCATTTCACATATCGTGTGCCAACATGTCGTAATAGATGACTCATCATCATGCAATACTTTGTTCATTTCAGGGGCGCATTTTCTTTTGTATTCAAAGCAAGAGATACTGCTACCGATAAGGAAGTTGCCATCAAGGTGGTTCGAAAGAGAGAATTAGACGCATCAGAGGTAGGGTGGCTGCTTAGCATTGAAGGGTACATGTTGGGTTCCTAACTTTATATTTCAATGCCAGCATGGTCAAAGCCATTTGCATCCCAACATGAAGAAAAAGACAAAGGCTACAGAGAGAGCAAATATCCTCAAAGAAGTACAGATTATGCGCAACATGCAACACCAAAACATTGTTCGACTTGTTCAGTTCTCGGAATCAGATGATTACTACTTTTTAGTGCTGGAATTATGTAAAGGTGGTGAACTCTTTCACAGAATTGTTCAATTGACCTACTTTAGCGAGGATCTTGCCAGACATGTCATTGTGCAAGTAGCTGAGGGTATTCGCTATCTTCATGAAGAGTGTGGTGTTGTTCATCGGTAAGATTTAGCATCAGCTACTATTTTTGCATCATAGACTAACCTATGGCGTTTGCAGTGACATCAAGCCTGAAAACATCCTCTTTGAACCTATTCCCATTATCAAAAGAGACAATGTCGAAAATCCATTTGGCGATGAAGATAAAGAAGACGAAGGTGTATTTGAGGAAGGTGTTGGTGGCGGCGGCATTGGTGTTGTAAAGCTCGCTGATTTCGGTCTATCCAAAGTCATCTGGGACAACTCTACCTTGACTCCTTGTGGTACAGTTGGATACACTGCTCCTGAAATCGTCAGAGATCAAAAATACTCCAAATCAGTCGACATGTGGGCCATTGGCTGTGTCCTCTACACCATCCTCTGTGGTTTTCCTCCATTCTATGATGAATCGATCCGTGCTCTTACTCACAAAGTAGCTCGTGGTGAATACACTTTTCTCAGCCCTTGGTGGGATCCCATCTCTGACTCTGCCAAAGACTTGATTAAAAACCTACTGACTGTGGATCCTGAGAAGCGCTATACCATCGAGGAGTTCTTTAAGCATCCTTGGGTCACTAAATCTCAGTTCCCTCCTCCTGCTCCTGTCGATGACGAGTTGCTTGCCAAACCCATGGTCGAAAAGAAGTTCAAGTCAAATGATCCCGTGTCTTTGCGCTGGTATTCATCGATCATGGAAATCTGGTCTTATGTTACAAGTGGGCGGAAGAAGAAGCATCAGCACATGCATCATAGCTAACCTATGCGTTTGGTGACTACGACTCTCTTTGAACCTAATTACAAAGAGACATGTGAAATCCATTGATGAAGTAAAGAAACGAAGTGTATTTGAAAGGTGTTGGTGCGGCGGCATTGGTTTGTAAAGGTATTTCGGTCTATCCAACACTGACAACTTACCTTGATCCTTTGTTACACCTCCTGAAGGAGAAAAAATACTCCAACTCGACATGTCCATTGGCTGTGTCCTTACAATCCTCTGTGGTTTTCTCCATTTTTTCATTTCTTACTCCAATGCTCGAAAACTTCACCTACCATCGCTTCAAAGATGTTAAAAACCACTGACTTGGTTGAGAAGGCAAAGGGAGTTCTTTAAGCATCCTTGGGTCACTAAATCTCAGTTCCCTCCTCCTGCTCCTGTCGATGACGAGTTGCTTGCCAAACCCATGGTCGAAAAGAAGTTCAAGTCAAATGATCCTCGTGCTCAAGCCATGCAAAACGCTGCTTCCAAAGCTGCTGCTGCTCAGCATGAGCAAAAGAGACAAAGCCAAGTTATCAACAACAATGATCTCGCCATCAAACCTGCTACACCCGTCAACAAAGATGGCAAAGCTGCAAAGAGAACCGATGTCTTTTCGCCTGGTATTACATCGATCAAGGAAATCTTGGACATCACTTATGCTGTACAAAGAATGGGCGAAGAAAAGAAGAAACGCACTGGCAACACACCTGCCATTCATACCGCCAATCAACCTCAAGCGTTTGGTGGCTACGACTCTATTTCTGAAGAAGACGAGGAAGAAGACGATGATGAAGATGAGCCTCACTCTGATGATAGTTCCAATGACTCGAAAACTTCACCTACCAGTCGCATTCAAAAGGATGTTATTGCCATGGCTGAACAATTGGTTCAAGATGGCAAAGGTATTGCTCCTGCTGCTTATACAGCAACACCTGAGCAGAAGCTTCAAACGTATGATACACCTATTGTTACACCTACCTCAAGGAGAAAGCGCAACATGTTTGAACTCGATATGTCCAAGGCTACCTTGTTGAGAAACAGAAAAGTGGTTGAATAGATACTCCATTTTTTACATTTAATTATCGCCGCCATCATCCCTAACTATTAACTTACCTTGTCTCATATATTGTTATTGTATATTTCTATTTTCCTAGTCAATTAGATACCCTACTCTTGTAAAGCACTAAAATTTATATAAAAAAAAAATCAAATCATGGGTTGAATCTGATCATTATTCTATTACCGTGTGATATGCTGTATGTCCTGGCATATTGTATCAAGAATTAGTGGGTGTCTACTTTTTTGAGGATGCGATTATTAAAATCGTAATAGCAATTCATAGCAACTGAATGACACTGGGTGGATTGTCGTCGCATCAATGTTTTCTAATCGCTAAATTTTGCCAGAACCCCGTGTGAAAAACAATGATTAAGACTATCACAGAGTCAAATCTCACAACCGGTCATCAATCTTGCTATTTTATTCGTAAATGTCATTTGTATAATGGTATCTATTTGTTATGCCAAATCAAGGTCTTGAGTGAATTCCAAGAGTCAGAATCACGATAAATATATTGCATAGAGGCTCTAAGTGAAGGTTGAACTGTATCTGTCTCATGTCTGAATAGCCACTGTGAACGCAATAGGAGGTTAGATTCCAATTCCTTCATGCACAACCAATGTATTTACCATGACAACGCCCCATACAACGGCAGCGAAAACGGGATAGGTGTGCTGAGGTGCATCAATGATTTGTCTCTTTACAGGCACTTTGACCAATGCCAATACAACTCGAGAAAAGAGATAAAGAATGATCTAACCCCAAACATGTTAAAACAAATGCTCTCGCCCCCCTTTTGAGTTGCTGTATAATCCTACCTGTTGGTTGATGCTATTGTTCTCACCGAAAACATAGTAACCGCCAATGACGCCAGCAATAAATGGATGAATACTTGCTTCCTTACCACCATTGATCTTTTTTTGCACAATCATTAATGTTTTATAGATGGTAGCAAATATACCCAAGTTCTGTGCATGCTGCTTTGTTGCTCTAAAGATGCCTTTGACTTTGCTCTCCAGTCTGTTGTGCGCATGATTAGCTCTTTTTGTATTCATGTTGTTCATGGTAAGACTTACGATCCAGTTTTGAATAGAATCGTCATTACGAGCGCATGAGGAAATCGCACTTTAGCGCCATACACAACACCACTACGGAAACCTTTCAGAATAGACAAGAGATCATGGTATTTAGGGTCAAGGACGAGTTGATTGAGAAACTCCATTATTGTATGTATATGTCTGTGGTAATTAAGATGAGTAAAAAGAAGAAAAAAAAAAGAGTAAAAAAAATGAAAATATGTGCAGTATCTTTTTAGCACCTGTTGTGTGGGACCAATTAAGTATCATTGACTTTCACATGAAATAAGAAAATCAAAATGGTTGTATCACCACCACAAGATCCCAAATAAACCTGATAAATGATGACAACAAAGATGCTGGGTCCGACCAGCCATCCATGGTATCACAAAAAGGTACACTTCATCTATTAAAGGCAGAGTGGTTTCTGACTATTGTATCAAGCAGCCAAGTAACACGAACGCATGAATCTGATAGTGTCCAAAAAAAAACAGTGTATGATTTACATGTTACCAGATTCAATTAGATCAAACATGGAAACATGACATCCTTTTTGGCCACTGCCTTCAGATTTATGTAACCTCTTGAATATTTATGCAGTGTTCATGTTTGGATGATCCCATGCAACTTTCTTATTTGGAGAGTCTTCAGTGAACCATGTCTAGTTTTCAGAAGGATAACTCTCTCGTTTGGCAGAATTTAGATACTTCTTCAATGAGTATATTTCGAAATTTCAGGAGAGTCGATATCTGACGCTCTAGTAGCCATCTGCATAGTCAACCCTACCGAATACGCATTGCAATTTATCTTTCAGTCCTCATCATCAAGTGAGAACTATCTATGGTTGTGTTAATGACTGTTCTACGATGCTCTACGTTTATATCCGTAAAGGCAATTTGTCCACCAACAACGAACAGCATACTTGCACTACCTCTTATTATTCAAGAATATGCAAAACGCAGCGAAATTTGGATGTACTGGAGCAGTGATTTCTCGCGTTATACGCCGTTTTAGACCGCTAGAAAAGCATCAAACAATTGCTTTCATCTAGCACTTGCTTGCTGATACGATTTTCAACTTCTTTGGGACCAAAAAAAAACATCCTACTCTACATCCATACACACTTAGCTATTTCATATACGGGCAAGCAGCATACTGGTATTTCCTCTTTTTAGTCCTTAGTATCTCTGATACAGCAAAGTTTGAGTTCATTTGAGCAGCGTTTTCTCGCGTTCAAGACCGTTTTAGATTGTCAGAATAGCATCAAACAGTTGCTCTCATCTGGCAGTTACTTTCTGACACCTTTGCTCAACTTTTTGGGGATCAAAAAAATATGGTCAAAAATCGACCAAAAAGCATGAGGTACCCCTCATGGTTTTCATCGAAAATCAAACGATCGCATTTTTCATCTTGATAATGAAGACTTTTACTATGGTATATCTTGAATCAAAATGTTTCTATCGATCCAAAGCAACCTCTGAAATCATCTTTGTGGGACTTTGATATGTAAAATTTCGACTTTTTGGCCAGAAACCTCTTTTCATATTTTCATAAATCATTTGATAAGTTTATTCAAATTATCTATTTTACTTAGTACCATTGGATGCGCCTTGAAAAATACTCCAAGAAAGCTTAAGAAAATACAGGATGATCATTATATTCTACTTAGTTGAATCTGCAAAAATAGCTCAATCAAGTCCAAAATTATCAAGATTTGTCCAATCTAGAACAGACTATGATTCTGGGCTTGAATTAATTTTGGCTTGTGGGGCCAGCTGGAAAACTCAATACCCTTTTCATACTGCAATACAGTAGTAAATGCCCTTGAAGCGTATGGAAGGTAGATGAAAAAACATAGCACTATCGGTAGCCATGGTTTCTTCCTTGCATTATATATTATTTAATAGGGCCAGTGTATTAAAATACTTGTTATATCAGCTTCTTTCCTTTTTGAGGCATCAGAAGCGTCTAGGGATCATAAATTTATAACGTTACGATGAGCATTTCAATTCTTTAGTTGGTTTCCTAACCTACGCTTTGTTTTGGTGGATATCAACCTACATTCAGGTGGCTCGCGTTGCCGCGGTCCTTTGGCTGCACAGCTTTAAACTTTTTTACATCTAGGATTTTTGATATTATGAGGCCAGGTAGTAGAAGATTGCAACCAATAAAATTGAAATATATTGGAAATCAATGGTAAAGGACACATGTTTGGCGGCGCATTCGGTACTGGGAGAGTGCATGGTACGTAGTGTATATGTAATGCTATACACATTTTTTTATAGATTCTCCTAGATAGTAATAAGTTAAAAAATATACATTGCAGTGAAAAAGGGGTTGAAAAAAACAAAAGATAGAATACTATGAAATCCTTCTTTATTCGAAATGAGGATAGTGTGCAATAAAATGTATATCTACGTCTCTATTTATATTATTAGGTTTATATCTCTTATCTGACAGCGGTTTATTAGTAGCTGTCAGCGATTCCATTATTTTGTATATTTTTGTTCGGTTATTTCGTTGTTGATCTGATGATGGATCAAGAATGGTATTCCAATAGATGGTTTGGGAATCATGTGTAAAAAATAGCTCTTTATTGTTGAATATATATATATTTTTTTAGGTATATTTATATCACAACTAACACATTACAATACCCTTAGCATTTATTTTAGTATCTGTCACCTCTTATTTTTAGAGCATTTTATCCTCGTTACCATCGTGCTAATACTATTATTATTATATATGCTTATCTGTTGATGATGGTAGCATGTGTTCTATCAAATGTTATAGCAAGATCTCACACTAAAGGTTTTTTTAGGCTATTCTTAGGTCCTTTGGTTAAATCATGCTAATCATGATTTACAAATCAATTGTTGGGTAGATAGTAAACCTATTTGTATTATAGTTCATCATCATGCTGTAAACCCTAGCATAATGAAAAAGTATATAAATGCATCCTTGGTGTGGAATACATCCACTATGATCTGCATTCCGACAGTTCATCCAGTTACCAGATTTAGATATAAACTGTATGTACACTGGATTAGATGTACGATATCGATTTATACTATGATCATGAGAAGATATGGACTTCAGATACGCTAGTACTATAAGATTCATACTATATAAGATATAGGCTATAGATGGCACCACGGACATGGATGGCACTATAGACTTATACTTGTATTCCGACATTGACTACGGATGTTTACCATATCTGGATAGGCACCAAGATTAATGCAATATGAGCTTGTTGCTTCAGATGTGCACTTCATGATCCACGCTATAAGACACATGCTTATATCCGTGATACTAGCTACAGATACTTTATGTACTACAGACTTGTACTATATATGAGACATGCTATAGACATGCATACGATATGCTATAGACATGCCATATATCCAGATACATGCTAAAGATGTATGCTTAGCGATATACACTCAGATATGTACTATTAATATAGACTAAGAAGACTGTACCTATCGGATACATGCTACTAGATCGATATTAATTATCCTTATGGAAAGGATAGATCAGGGTACTTCGGATGAGAGTCTAATTATTCATCCAGACAGAGCTAAATCATGATTAGCTTGCTGGAGTTGTCTTTTGGCATGATTAGACATTAGTTGATCTGAGTTGACTTATTTGTCAATCTAATTAATAGAACTTTTATCCATTGTTATAGTATATAAGAAGGACCATCTACCTGGCCAGTAGAGAGACTTCAGTTTACTTTACACCTGTCAGTTTGATAATAAAATATACCTTTATCAAGTTGACATTACTGTTTTTTTTATTCTTTTTTTTCCGTGAATTTTAGTCTGTAAAGCCTCAAATTCCACACTTGGGATGCATTCTCAATAAAAGTGTAATTCTTTGGCAGATTCAATTTTGTATTTTGACATAACAGCATGGCTTGATTGAGATGACATATTTTTTGGGCTTCTTTGATTATGACGGAAATATAATCTGGCTCACTTCATAATACATCTCTCACATGAAACTGTTTAATGGGTACTATATCAAATGATTGCACCTTGCTTTACTTTTGAATAAACAAAAAAATTTTATTACAAACACAATAACATGATAAATGGCAGGTCAGCAGAAAATCAACTACTTGTAGACGCTTACTCCATCAACCACTCAGCCAATCAAATCGCTTGAAAACTCCGCTGACCTAAAAAAAATTTTGCGAGGGTTTCCCCCTGTTTTGATGTGAGGCAAAATTTTAAGCTCCGCTATATGTAGCAATATAGCCGTTACTATCATCAAATTTCCCTCAGGTGCCAGAGCATGCCTTACTTACACCACCTAGCTTTAAGTTCTGGCGTTGAGACCCTCAATCATCACTAAAGTAAGTAGCGATAACCAAGTGGAGGCGGCCTATCCACCTCCTGGTGTCGGATAAAGTCTTGTTGAGCTTCAGTGATAGGCACATCCACACAACGTAAAAAACGTATGCTTCAAAAGAAACATAAAAATAATAAAAGAAAGAAGAAAAGAACATAACACTATAAGAGTATAGTAGTATGTAGGCAAAAAAGGGATACTCATACACAATGAGTCAAAGAAAAGCATAGCAAACACAACATCAAAGATGTTCAAAAAAGCTCGTTGCTGTTGCAAGAAAAATGCATACATGAGCAACGCGCATGGTAGTAATAGTGAGATGTAAAGCAACATGACACAAATAATACGCACGGCTGCGAAAGCAACAGTGGTATCATAAGTTCGTGATACAACGTAATGACTAATGTTGTTTCATGTAAAGCTACAGAGGAAACACTACCAACAAAAGAAAAAGAAGAAGAACAAAGCGCAAAAAGGCAAACATCATGAATGCATTATCACGAGAAAGGAAGTAATAATATAAACATTCAAAGAAGTTTTACATCATTGCGACCAGAAGAAAGAGGATACCACTTACCACAGCCACAGATAGACCAAAAGAGTATAGGCAATTACGGGAGACAGACCAGAGAACGAGCATGCACCAAATACAATAGATCGGGAGAGCCCATGTGAGCAGCAATAGCAGCGGCAGCAGCAGCAGCAACACTAGCGCCATAGAAAAACTAAAGAACGAACGCCATCAGCAGAGAGCAGACAAAGACCAAAGAAGTTACTTACCACTTATCACCACCACAGATAAACCAGATATTACGCATCACCGGATATGAACCAAAGAACGAGCATGCACCAAATACAGTAAACCGGGAAAGACCAGAAGATTAGCGGCAGCAACACCAGCACCATAGAAAAACTGAAGAATGAACGACACCAAAGATCAGACAAAGACCAAAGTAACAACCACCAGACATGATAAACCAAAGAAGCAGAGAGCAGAGATAGCAGAGAAGTACTGGCAGCAGTATTCATCGCATCAAACAGACAAAAAAAATCATCAAAAACCTAATAAACAAATTCAATTAGTGTTAATTCTACGCCTTTCAGTGCTCTTTATCGAATGGTACCTAACATATCCCACTTCAAAGAAGCAGTATCAAGTTTTTCCAACGGTACATGGCAGCGTTATCAGAAGCCAGAGTGCTATTATCAGTCAAATGGTTTCAAAACAGTCATCGTTTGATACTAAACGCGTTTTGCAAAAAGTGAAAAAAAGAGGGTACGAAAGAATGAAAGGGCACCATATCCGACGTCACGTCCAGTAGATTTGGTCTCAGTCTTCTGTCGTAGTGGCAGCCGTAACTGCTGCATTTTAATTTCCAATCGTGCAGTGGGTATTTTTCGTGTTCAAATTTGACTTAATTTCACATTCTTTAAACATATTTGCTAAATTTGACTATGAAAACTGTCGTTGCCACACCCAACTTTCTAATGCATCTCTAGAGAACTAAAGAAGCCGCATCGAATGGTGCTGATTACTTTCAGTTTTCAGACCAAAAATAATGAGCAATTTCCAAAAATATGAAAACAGGTTTTCTGTAAATATGTCAAGATTTATTATATGAAAGTCTCATAGAAAGAGTTTCCAATGTTGCATTTCATCTTTACGATCAATTTGGTCTAGTATGTGTCATAGGAAAATTCTTCATTTTTGTGGTGAAAAACGCGATCGTTTGATTTTCAAGAATTTTCCTTTGCTAATACTCATGTGAAAATGAGGATTTTCATGGATTTGCAATGACCCAAAAAAATTTGAGATAAAGCATCAGGAAGTAAGGCGTATCAAAGGCGAGTCGCTCGGCGCGATTCCAAACGCACAGAACGCTTTGTGGCATGAGTTATTCGTGCTTCAAAATGGCCAACATTGGACATAATTTGGCCGGAAAATAAGGTGTAGTATGTTGTGCTGCCAAAGAAGGAATTAAACTACAGTTTCTTCTAATGTCCCTAATGTTCTGCATTGTACGGATCTCAATCCCTAAGCTATCGACGCTGTTATTCTAACTCTGACGATCAGAAGATCTGTTTGAGATGCTCGAAGAATACAGTGATTTTAAAACTTGAGCGCCAGTGACACTATGCAAACTTGAATCTCACGGCTTGCTCAGATTGACCAAAATGCTTATCAGGTTAAAAGAACATTTTTGATGTTTGTCCGCAACAGAGATGCCATATCTAGCTGTGAAATTAGACTTAAAGTCTATTCTGTTTAGGATAACGAAATATAGACAGATTAAATGCAATTAGAACTGAATATATTTATTAAGCTATTCCAAGATTGAATGGGGATCAAAACTAGTGTAGATATCAAAGGTATTTATAGTTATTTGACAGTGCCGCAGCAATAGGACCTTGATCTTGAATGCGGGATAGCTGTATAAGCCTTGAACCAGTTAACGAGAATGTGCTGCATAAGAACTCATGAACCACCAGTCGAGGATAAACAACAAAGATGATCCAGGATAGAATGTTCTTCCTAATAGCTTTGACGGAAGAACATTTGTCGGAATTGAAACCCACTTCCAGGGACGAAAGGCCATAGGCTATCACTCTCTAGGAACCAGGATATAGATTAGCCATTTGATGGCACCGCTCATGTTCCTTCGTGCTGCTTGAATAAAGACCTCTCACTTCTACTATGCATCTCAGCTCATTCTCAGATCCTCTTATGTAATAAACGACGCTTAATACATTTGCCTCTCAGAGATGATCTATATCCTCAACAGTCATCTCCCACTAAATTGCCAAAAAACGATCGCTCAAGGCTAACTTTTGTTATATTGACACACATACAGGCTTTTGAGCATTGCTACTAGCCATACCACGCTCTGTACTTATTTTATAGATTTGGGCACTGTGGAATTTGAGGCTTGATAGACTAAAATTCACGGAAAAAAAAAGAATAAAAAAAACAGTAATGTCAACTTGATAAAGGTATATTTTATTATCAAACTGACAGGTGTAAAGTAAACTGAAGTCTCTCTACTGGCCAGGTAGATGATCCTTCTTATATACTATAACAATGGATAAAAGTTCTATTAATTAGATTGACAAATAAGTCAACTCAGATCAACTAATGTCTAATCATGCCAAAAGACAACTCCAGCAAGCTAATCATGATTTAGCTCTGTCTGGATGAATAATTAGACTCTCATCCGAAGTACCCTGATCTATCCTTTCCATAAGGATAATTAATATCGATCTAGTAGCATGTATCCGATAGGTACAGTCTTCTTAGTCTATATTAATAGTACATATCTGAGTGTATATCGCTAAGCATACATCTTTAGCATGTATCTGGATATATGGCATGTCTATAGCATATCGTATGCATGTCTATAGCATGTCTCATATATAGTACAAGTCTGTAGTACATAAAGTATCTGTAGCTAGTATCACGGATATAAGCATGTGTCTTATAGCGTGGATCATGAAGTGCACATCTGAAGCAACAAGCTCATATTGCATTAATCTTGGTGCCTATCCAGATATGGTAAACATCCGTAGTCAATGTCGGAATACAAGTATAAGTCTATAGTGCCATCCATGTCCGTGGTGCCATCTATAGCCTATATCTTATATAGTATGAATCTTATAGTACTAGCGTATCTGAAGTCCATATCTTCTCATGATCATAGTATAAATCGATATCGTACATCTAATCCAGTGTACATACAGTTTATATCTAAATCTGGTAACTGGATGAACTGTCGGAATGCAGATCATAGTGGATGTATTCCACAGGCACCGTAAGGAAGTTTCTATGCTTTTGTTATTAAAAGAAAACATTGCATTAGTAGGTCCCCAGACGAGGTCTTATTTGGTAGAGCAAACACAGGAGAGCAAAATCTAATGAAAGGATAGGAAGTGTGATTGAATTGGCAGCTGTGCATATAATAGTGCGTGTCGAAACACCGGTTTTCTTTATGTCGTCGGTTTCTTTACAACACTTCCCTCGCTTAATTACTCGACAACAAATGTAGCGACTGGAAATCACTTTATATGTTTAACAACCATTCAAAGTAAACATATAGTGGTCCTCGTTCAAGAGGTTCATGCTCATGATGGACAATAAAGGTAAGGTAACACGGTTGATAATTGTTGTTTGTAAATCAACCGCCACAATCGCCACTTTTTATGCATTTTTTCCTCGCTGTGACCAGAGCCAGCGGTCATTGTCACTAATAGGTAGCTTTATTAGGGTCGAGGTTTGTTCTCCTTGTTGATCTACACTGGCATTTCTTCTTATCCTGAAGAGAATGCAAACTGTGAAAATTGCTATTTTAAAAACCTGCAGAAAAAGATGAGTGATTTTATGGGGCGGTTCATATCATTTCATTTGAGAAACTGTCAACAACGTCTATTGCGCAAAATGCTCATGAAGAAAAGAGCCACTATAGAGCGAGCTCTCATCATTAACAAGAGTAGCACATTGCATGTTGATTTACGTCTCTACGTAAGCTCTCTATGCATTTTGTAATACAGCAATTCAAGACTACACGCTGTCTGTATATTGCACAGCTACGACCCTCAAGTATGTGAGCAATAACTGGCTTGCAGAGCAATACAAAGTGAATTGTACATGTGTCGTTTTATTGGATTAGGTAAAAAAAGGGCTTCATTTTTTACTGCTTGATCATCTTTTCTGGTGCGGCCACCTTGCCGTAAACACGCCAAATGTCCTCAGGATCCGAAATTGTCTTTTGGAACACAACATATTCCAACACATTGTGAATCTTGTTGGGATCGCCGCCGATCAACTTGTTCTTCTTGTCGAACACAGCCATGGATTGCTTTGTAAACATTCTCACTGTCACTTGACCTACAGCAAAGCCGTGCTTACTGACTCCTGTTGTACCGACACAACGAACACAGACAATCTTGGGCTGCTCCACATCGCCATGGTATCTCCATTCCCAACGAACATTGTTGCGAGTTTTTAACTGGTTTTTCAAGCTCTGTAAAGAAGGATGTTAGTTGGACATGTGCCAGATGCTGCCAATCCAACCAAGACTTACTGAATACATGGCATCTAAACAGACTTCTTCTAAAATGGCTCTATCGCCTCTATTGTATGTGTGTAGATCCATGTCAATTGTCTGCGGGCGCTTTTGCTGTGCGCTTTTGCTGTGCGCTTGAAAGTCTTACCTTGCAAATGCATCATTCATGTCTTTGTAAGCTTCTTCAGCCTCGGCAAGGAATTTGCGAGAGTTCCACTTTTCATATTGAGACTTGTATTTAATCAAGCCAACACTAAAAAGTACATGTTACTTTCTCTGATCTCTTGACATTCCGAAAAAGGGAGCTTTTACCTTAATAAATTTTGAACACTGTTCTTCATGTTTCTCCATTTAGTCAAACGCCATTTGCTGAAATCAGTGATTGATGGAGATTGTTCAGGGGGGACATAGTTGGCTTCAGTGCCTTGTTGTTAGCATATGCTATCCACTCTCAAATCAAATCAAAGCTTACCGAAAACACCATGATCACGCAGCAAGATTTGCTTGCCTTGTTGCTGATTTGAAGCATATGAACGAACACCGAGGATTGTCGTTTTAGGCAATTGAGAGAATACAAATCTGGGTGCGAGGAAGGGTTGTTGTTGAAGAGGTCTAACCAATCTCAATGGGCGAACAAGGGATGGAGTGATTCTCATACTGGAGGCCATGATGATTGTTGAGAGAAAAAAAGGTAAAATCCCGGGGTCGTCTACTTTTGGTGGTAATTTCATCTTCCAATGTTGACAGGCCCAACAGTCACCGAAACAGCAATGTCCATGGAATCACTGCGCCTGTTACACCTGTTTGAAAACGCGGCAGCATTTCTTTCTTTCGATACTATGTTTAAGAAACCATCTCGCACTAAAAACATCCGTAGAAAGGTCGAGACCACAGACGATGAGCCAGCTGAAGTTGTTATCCAGAAAACAATAACTTCGTCCAAGAAGAAGGTCAAATCGAAGAAGTCCTTGAATGCGCTCAGTTTTACTCAGGATGAAGAAGAAGAAGGCGATGGCGAAGAATTCCAAATCAAAAAGACCAAAGCCAGTAGAGGTTTGCAAGTCAAGTTGCCAGAGTAACATATACATTTGGGTGTGGTTTCTTTGCAGCTTCTGACCAGCTGTTGAATATTAGGATTGAACTGGAAGCAGAGCAAGTTAAACAGCATTCCAGTTACGATAAAGAGACCTTGGACAAGCTTCGAGCTGGCACGCCTAGCTTACCTGCTTCAGTCAGAACATCACTTACAGCAGACGACGATGCTTTACTACATGAAAAGTTTCCATCAACAATGAATGCTAAAATCACCAGTGGCGGTATTCCAGATGCCAGTGCTATCATCGCCGCAAAGAAGAAACGTGAGCAAATGCGCAAAGGGTTTAATATCACTGAGAGTGAGGATGGATTTATACCTTTAGACGACAAAGACGACGATGAGGAAGATGTAGGATTGTGCATTTTTTTACATTCACAGTTTGAAAATTAATGTATTGCTGTATATAGAGAACTGGATCTCGACTCGTGAGAGAGGAAGATGATATTGCTGATGACGGAGAGGCTGGTAAGTAGTTAATATTCACGAGACAAGTGTGTCCCTAAAGGGTTTTGCACTTAGAATTTGAAAAGTATGTGGGCGATAAAATCACATTAAGCAAGGGCAATGCGAAAAAGCAGGAAAAGGAACGCAGAGAGGGCGTACGTGAGATGATTGAAGAAGCCGAGCAAGATGACGATCAGTCTGAGGATATGGAAAGATGGGAGGAAGATATGATGAAGTTTGGCGGTGCAAAGTCCCAGAGCAGAGAGTTTGATCCATATAGCCCACCACCAAATTATAGACCTGCACAAGGTAGGTTCTAATGAAACGTTTGACAATGGACTGTGCACTGAATAATGCATGAATAGTACCTGAGGTATCTACTCTACCGACCTTGGCTGATGTGATGAAAGCGCTTGACCTTTCTACTACTCAAGTTGCTGAATCAATGCAACAGTATGAATCGAATTTGCAAGACTCATTAAAGACCATTGAAAACTCGACCACGATTGAGGATGATTTACAAAAGGAAATCGAACGAGGCAGTAAACGATACAATTACTTTCAAGAGTTAGCGCAGTATGTCAATGACTTGGGTGAATTCTTGGATGCCAAGGTTCGTTAGATCAAGGCCTATTAAGCAAAAATTGTACTTACAACGTGGTATATAGTTCCCTGATCTGGAAAAGTTAGAATCCGAAGCACACGACACTATATCAGCAAAGACTGAGATTGCTACGTCTAGAAGATGGCAGAACAATCTAGACGACTTATGCCAATTTACAAGTGTTACAGCAGATCAATTAGACGAAGATATGACGGAAGAATCAGAGCAAGTAGATGAATTCGGAAGAGTCAAGGAATTGAGAAATTCAGCGAGTGCTCGTCAAAGAAGGAGATCAGAAAGGCAAAAACGCATTGAAAAGCAAGCTGGCTTATCTGAACTGGAGGGCGAAGATGCTATCAAGGAGCAGGGATTGTGGACAGACGATGAGATGAAAGAGGATTATTACGAGCAAAAGCACGATAAATTACTGCAAATTCAATCCAGTGGAATTGAAAATCTCATGGCTGATGTGAGTGACGAATTCAGGTCGCTATCTGCCGTAAAGGACAAATTCGAAGCATGGAAGCTGGATTACTACGATGATTATAAAAAAGCCTATGGTAGTCTCAGCTTACCTGGTGCGTTTGAGTTTTACATACGTTCTGAATTGGTGTCTTGGGATCCATTCTCGGTAAGTTTTTCTTGTTGAAAGTCATGCACACATATACTCACGTAGCTCTTATGATAGGATCCAATGGATTTTGACAGCATGCAATGGCACAGAATATTATCAGAGTATGGTGTATCAGTAGAACATGAGGATCCTGATGTTGAAATGCTGAACAAGGTTGTCGAAAAATCCATCATCAAAAAGATCAAGAGCATGCTGGATACCCTTAATGCTGCCTCTTCAAGGCAAATGAGACACGCAGCTCAAATCATGGAGCAAATATCGTACTATGTAGACATTGACGAAAAGGCGTACCAAGTAAGTGCATCTAGCAGTGACTCTAGCCATCAGTGTAATAACTTTGGAAAACAGGATTTGGCTATGGACATTGTAGACACACTAGAAAAGCAAATTTCTCGATTCGCTGAATCCATTGAAACAGCAGTTCCCAAATCAAATCTGGACACTGAATCAACACAAGCCAAGCATCGATTCGTTTGGGCACATTGTAAATATCTCAAGACATTGCTCGTTTGGCGCAGACACATACCCAAGGGTCAATTAGATAGGTTAGGCAACCTGATTGTAGATAGAATTATCTCGCCCATCCTTAAGCCAGAGTCGTATCCAGCTGATTTGCATTTACAAAATGAAGCTTTATTGCTCTTGTCACATTTACAGAAATAATAAATCAAGGTTACTGCCAGCGTCTGCTTCTTCTATTTCTCGAAGGATGATGGATGATCTGCCCCGTTTTTCGTTGTAGTTCTGCTAATCCGTCTTTGGCTTCTAACGTGATGTGTATAATTGAGTTTTGTCTTTTTTGGGTCTCCAGGTCCTTGTCCATATCATCAGGTATAATGTCGTCTATTAATGAAATTGTCTCTGTAGTTGGTTTTAGAGTAACTTGGTTTTCTAAAGCTTCCTGCGCCGCTAATGCCATCGATGCGGCTCTGATCACCATAGCTCCTAATCCATGTATAACGACTGATTTGTGGCTATTGTAATCATGAGTACATTGAAGGACATTGTACAAATATATAGAATGTTACTTTTCTTTGAGCATTAGTCTTCGTACACGCTTTACTATCGCACTTCTCTTGCTTTTGGTTGAAATGTATATATCAGTCGGTACAGACGCTGGTCTCTGGGGAGTACGTTTATGAATTGCTCCTATTCATATGTTTACCTATTAGCCATAGACCATTCATATCAAGTATTTGCTTATACCTTCAACAGGAGCTCTTTTGTCTAGCATAATTTCGTCCATATTTATATTCTCGAGTGATTTATTCAAAGTACAAATGTCAAAACTTTTTTTTCCTATAATTTAAGCTACTGTTTCCACTAGTCACATTCAGATGCAAGTGTCGATGCTATGATTGCATTTGAAAGATGCATAAAACTTCTTGACATTACAGTCTGATTTTATGAATAAATCAAGACACCAAGTACCTTGGAGGCTTGCTAGAACGCATGGACGTCTTTGATCAGTACATCTCTTAAAAAAAAAACCCCTCCAAAATGTCACACTACCACTACATGCTGGCAGATCAATGAACTAAACGTAATTCACTTTTTTTAGATGTTTTCTTTTATTTTAATTATATAGACAAGTGAAGAAAAGAACTTTTTAAAACTTAAGCTTCGGTTGATTCCTCAGCGGCAGGAGCAGCGGCAGCAGGAGCAGGTCTGAAATCTTGAGCAGAGGGCTCAGTGATAGCGGCCTCATCCTTGGGTTCGAGGATGGTGACAATATCGGGAAGACATTGCTTGGGACCGTTACGACCAGTAGGATCGTTATCCAACATAATCTTAACCTTAATGCCCAAAACACCTTGACGCAAATCAACATGGCGAACAGCAGTGGTGATGAATTCACGAGCAGGGTTACCAGAGTGAATCATGAAACCATCAGCAAACTTCATGGCCTTGGCACGAGCAGCACGAACCTTACCAGAGACAACGACTTCACAACCCTTAGCACCGGATTCCATGACGAAACGAACGACACCATAACAGGCACGACGGACGGCCAAACCATTGAGAAGCTTGAACTTGACAGACTCACATTGAGCAATGGCACAGAGACCACGGTTTTGGACACGTTCGGCATAAAGCTCAACAGCGTTCTCGGGGAACTTGAAACGCTTTTGAACAAGAGTGGTCAATTCACGGATACGGCGACCCTTCTCACCAAGAACGTTTTGTGTGTGAGTGGCACGAATGATGATTCTAGTAGATTTTCCAATGAGTGATTCCATTTCACTGTCATATACACTCCATTCATCTCTCTTACTCGGTACGGGCAGGGGTAACACGAACCTCAACACCAGCATAGCCATCTTCAGCAAGTTCACGAGTGAAGAACTCGTTTAATTCAGCATAAAAGACACCGTCAGCAACCTACATATGTATATGGTGTATATTAGCATCTTGAGCTTTTTACAGGCTGATGATTGTTGTCATCCATCGAAATCTCAACTTACGAACTACAAAATAGATGGAAAATATGGATTAATATGACATCTAACGATAGTATGATGATAGATGTATGTTTCTACCTTTCTCTTCTTGGAGATTTGAGCAACAGCAGCCATGGTTATATATGTGGATACGTTAAAAAAGGAAGGATGGATGGATTTGCTGTGGATAGATTAAAGTTGTTGCTGGTCCATTGCAAACCAAAAATGGCAATCAAAAGTGCCGGCAATTTCCTCATTTCCGGTTCGGAAATGATTTTAGATCCAAGCTAAGTCTATATGTCTTTAGATTGATGTTCTAAATAAGATGGGTGTATTGTATAGCCTCTCATTCGTTGCAACGGCTTCATACAAAATATGATATCGAAACATGCTGGCCAAGCTCGAACAAATTTTAGAGGGAAACTCTACATTTCGGTTCTCAGGATTGGCTTTCCTGAGCTTTCATACAATTCTATCAGATCTGACTTACTTTGTATGTACTTGATATTCTGTTAGAAGCTACAGTCCAAATGCAAGTAGCACTAATAAGTAGTATATGTATACTCAAAGCATGAGAGACATACTTGTCAAACGGAGCTTAGAATCGAAAAAAATTCAGGGCACCAACCAATTTATCGTAAAAGTTCCCAGGCTTATTGATGACTGATCTTGCCTGGTAAAGGCACGTTCAAACAAACTGGCATTATCAGACTTCAGCGAAGTGAACCTTACGTAAATAAAATATCTCTATATTTAGTTTCTGCATTAGATATATGGCATTAGAAGCGCTCGAGGCAGACTGTACATGGATTTTCAACGAGAGATCAAATGATACAATTCTATCATCTCTTCAACGTCATTTTATACACATTTGATCAGCCTATATACAAGTCGTGGCCTAAGTTTACATCTCTAAGCTAAAAATTGACGAAGGCTTCCTTGTGTTTGTTCGTGAATAAAAGCAAAAAGATGCCCTAGCCAACAATGACATTAACTGAATGAGGTCATAAGATCCACGAACATTATGTGATAAGCAAAACCTATAAGAAACAGAAAACTTCAAAGCCTTTTATCAATTTTTGTCCTTAAACATATAGTCTAACCAAAATGTAGACATCGTGCAGTGACAATAGGGTCGCAGAAGGAAACACATGGAATATTTTCAAAGTAGATCAGTTACGACGACGTGTCTGCATGTATTCCACTGTATTCCACAGTGTTATCATAACTTATGATTTGGATTCATTAGCTAAAGCCAGAAAAAAATAGCAACAACGCATATCAATTTAAAAAGGTATTCCATATATGCGATTACTAGTAAAGGATTTGTACCTGGATCACGTTTTTTCACTCATCTGAGAATTAAAGCAAGTAGATTTTAGTATAAAATCATAAATTGATGGCTTCATTTGCTGTATTTACTCTTTTCTTTTCATTTCAAACAGTTCTTAACAACAATGACTCTCCCTGAACAAACTCAACATCATGCCCACCCTACTGAATTGGCTCGTGAAATGTCTACCAACACAATGATCAAGACCGAACAACAGCTCCGCGAAGAGATCGCCGCATTAAAACGTGAAGAAGAAAACCTCAAGAAGATTGATGAAGAAATCAAGCAAAACCTGGAGATTGTACATGAGAAGCGAGTTGCTGCTGAGGATCATGACGCCTAAAGGATTGTAGGATGGCTTCATAATCTTTTCTTTCTGTGCTACTGTGTTCGCATGTGTGTACCTTTCTACATGTACGTCATGTACCACACTTGTTAATTTCCTATATATGATATTCCTCATGAATCCATTATCCAGTAAAGAATAAAGATAGTTTTATGATGTTCTTCTATTGAATTTGGTGAAAGAGAAAAGAAATTTCATGTCGAATCTGCAAAGTTAACTAGACTAACGACAAACATAAACAAATATAGGCGTCGCACCACTAATGAAAGCAGATACAATGATTATTGTAATTTTGTAACATAAACTTTTGTTCCATAAAGAATGTGTCTTTTACAATAGTCTACCAAGTAAATTCAATGTCTTGGTATTAAACCAAGTCGAAGTAATGTGCATTGGAGATGATCAAGTATCTATCATGTTAGTTAAATCAGTGAATTCCGGCAAGTTTGACTAGAGTGGTGCAATGTAAACCTTGTCTAGCCAATCAATGTTGGTAAATTGAGTGTGTTGCACTTTTCCAGTGAGCCTACAATTTCACTATCCCGGCAAAGCAAGGAAAAATGGTCACCGAACACTCAAATTTGAGGGGCAAGCCTATTGATAACTATAGCACAAGTACACAAGAGTAGAGATCCTTCTTTTAAATCGTTAATATGGGTAAAGTGTATACATCCATCCATCCATCTATGCCATGATATCTAACCAGTATTTCAATTCTATCACCATCTATATCAATTTCCTCGACTAAACAGCTGTCGGCAAGAATAAGTAAGTTTTGTCATCTTGCATCATTTGGAGTAAGCATACTGATGATTGCATCTGTTTAGGCGTCTTTCTAAGGGAAAGAAGGGTTTGAAGAAGAAGGTGTAAGTGAAAAAACCTTGAATTTCTGTGTGTCTAGTTGAAAGAGTATTGGAATATTGTACAATGTCGAGTTTTTATATGCGATCAGAGAAGCTGTCTAGAGGAGATGTAGATACAAGTAGATGTTGATGTCGATTTCTTCAGCCTGCCATACTCGACCCAGCGAGACACTACACTACTCTTTCAACTAGGCTTACAGTAGATCTTTGTTGATACAGAATCAATGTGAATTGACGCATTTTTCTATCTTTTTTTAGCGTTGACCCCTTCACCCGTAAGGACTGGTATGATATCAAGGCTCCTTCCATGTTCGACGTCCGTCAAGTCGGTAAGACTCTTGTCAACCGTACTCAAGGTCTCCGTAACGCCAACGACTCTCTCCACGGTCGTGTCGTCGAGATGTCTCTCGGTGATCTCTCCAAGGACGAGGCTCGTTCTTTCCGTAAGATTCAATTGAAGGTTGACGAAATCCAAGGTAAGAACTGTCTCACCAACTTCTACCGCATGGATATGACCACCGACAAGCTCCGTTCCATGGTCAAGAAGTGGCAATCTTTGATTGAGGCTTTCGTTGATGTCAAGACTACCGATGGTTATCTTGTTCGTCTCTTCACTGTCTCCTTCACTTCTCGTCGTCGCAACCAAATCAAGAAGACCACTTATGCTCAAGCTGCTCAAATCCGTCAAATCCGTAAGAAGATGTTTGAGATCATGACTGAGGAAGCTGTTGCTTGTGACCTCAAGGAATTGGTTGCCAAGGTTACCTCTTCTGCTTCTCAATCTGCTCAAGACGCTATTGCTGTCCGTATTGAGAAGGCCTGTCAAGGTATCTATCCTCTCCAAAACACCTACACTCGTAAGGTCAAGATCCTCAAGGCACCCAAGTTCGATGTCTCTGCTCTCTTGGCTCTTCACGGTGGTGCTGCCGCTGCTGGTGATGATACTGGTGCTAAGGCTTCCAAGGATTTCGTTGAACCCGCTATCCAAGCTTCTGTCTAAATCAACCCCCCTACGCAGAGGTTATATATATTTTTTCGTTAGAAGAAATTAATAAAAACCATAAAATGTCGCTTGCTTCTCGCCTCAACTCACTGCTGCTTTATTATATGTTCGTATCATAGTTGGGAAGGGTTAGATGAAATGAGATAATATGAAAGGGTGTAGGAATCCAAATAGCATTTGGTAGGTGATGATACAGTTTAAAATATAGATGGTAGGTGTGAGGTATCTGAGAATGAGTCAGTAAGCGAACGCTTATTTGTGTGCTGGGAAACTTACCTTGAGTTGGTTACGTCTGGATTTCTGCCTACAGTTACCAAGAATGCCAATGTCATGAGCACAGGGACATCTTGAACAAGAGTGAGCTTAGACTCTGGTAGTTGGTATGTCCAGCCGATCAGCATGTTCTTGATGAACACAATGAGATGTGGAATATAATATGGTAAAAGGGAGATCAGAAAGATGAGCCATGATTGTCTATACTTGTAGATGTTTTGGAACAATGGCAGATCAGAGCGAGCAGCATTGCGAGCAGAGCATGTCAATAATAACCAAAAGCTGAAATACAGTGTGAAAATTACGGCTGAGGGGAGGAAACTGAGTAATCCAACAACGATACCCACATGGACAAGGAACCGTGTCGATGTAACTGATGTGGACACATCACTGGAACGCATGAATTGCATTGGTGTGCTGAGGATCAGAGTCAAGAGTGATACCAAGAGCCAGATGACAGCATTCAGACCAACACTCAGTGCAAATGTTAGAACCAATAAGCCGCCAAATAGCCAATCATTACTGCCAAACAGCATGTATTTTGTTACGAATAGACTGACTATTGAAGAGTCAACTGGCAAGCAGCTGATGATGGCTACTGTAATGATGAGTAAAGCAATGAGTTGTAAGAAGGGTCCCTTGACACATTGCACTATTGCGATCGGATAAGCAACAAATTCACGCTTTCCATTGAGAGCATATGTATTGGCCTGCGTCAAGAGAATCATCAGGGAAGATACCCAGAGAAAGTTGGCCAGAATAGCGCCATAGCGAAGCACACATCTACCCAAAGTACCATACCAGTCCAGCTTGATTTCAATATCCATGGCTTGTCTATCTGTAAAGAACTGAAGCAATAAGCCCTGGTGATTTGTGTCTACCTCTTGATGGAATGTGATTCTCTCAGATTGATTTGCCTCTAAATGGCGGTAATATTTGGTTTCTACATTGTTGATAGTTTGTTTCATCATTGGTTTGTAAAGGCCTTGACCTGTCAGTGAAGCTACCTTGACATCGAAGGCAAAAAGTGAGTTGCGAATTAGTGGAAACACATGCGTTGCGTGAAGGGGATCCACAGTGAAGAACACCCCGCTTCGCATAATGCTCCAGACGCTGTTTTTATGTATAGTAGGTGTGTCTTGGTATAGTTGGATAAATGTGTCTACTGGCATTTGGCAGTGCTGGATAATACCAATGAAATTACTGCTGATAGTGTCAATGCTGAGTAGGCGGAATGGTGTAGAGTCGATCAAGTTTTCTGCAGAGGCTGATAGCAAGACTGTCACTTGAGGCACGGTATATTTGCAGTTGTTTCCATCATGACATTGGACGATTGACCAGCAATTATCATCGCTTCTATGGATATTTGTCAGCAGTTGTAGCTTTGATGCTGGAGATTCTATCAGTGTCATTGTCTTTTGCTGCATATTGAACAGAATAGGGCTGGTTGTGTTTTCTAATGCCTTGATTTCCACTTCATTCACTTCCACATTTGTGTTCTGACGGCTAATCACGGAATCATCTCTACCATTCAACAGATTACGCTTGTAAATTTGCATACGCTCCTCTACCGATGCTACTTGTACCGTCTCTAATAGTGTTGAAGCTAATATACGAATGAATTGATTACACCACAGTATTGCCATATGATCTGTGCCTGTCCAGACGCCTGGAATGGATGTCGTGTATGTGGTGAATCCATGGGTAGCTGGTATAAAACTAGCTGTGTTGACACCGTCAGAATGGACAATGCTATCCAAACATCCTCCAGCGATAGATATCAAGGTAAGGTTGTCAAATTTGTTGTTTGTCCAAAACTGAGTCAATCTCTTGTAGGTCTTGTAAATAGCAGCGTCTAGTAGGAGTGGAGCTGCCGTATGAGGCGTAGCAAGCGTGATCATGTTGGTGATGCTGTTGGGAATATAGCTTGGTAGCATAAACATAGTGCGCGCTACAAGGCCGCCCATAGAATGGCCTATGATGAGGACAGATGTTGGTCTGTTGGGATGATGTTCATACAAGGACAGTATTTTTGCCACCGCTTGGTTCATGTACTCTGCTTGATCCAGCAATGTTTGTCCACTTAAAGCTGACAGCTCCTCGTTCAAATCGACTGGCACACGATGAATATCCATTCAAATTAGCAATCGATATACAATTTACCGGTAAAATAATCTATATTTCGGTCTGATTTTCCATCATAATACAAGTGTGTTGTTGTCGAAGCCAAGGATCGTATTTGCTTATGACTTCCTGCCTGACCTGGGATGAACAATGCAGGCACGCCATACAACTGAGATGGCAACAAAATAATTAGGTTTTGACAGGCACACACAGTTGCTGATATACCTGATCAGGTCCATCCAAATAGCCCTCACGGTACAGGTACAGCTTGTATTTGGCTGACAGGGCTGAATTCGGCTTATTTGTAATCTCAGTAAAAGTGGGATATGCATAGCTCATGGCACATTGCTGCTGCTCTTGTCTCTGTGCTGATTTAAATAGGTGCAGGTAGAAACTATCCACCATGGCAAACAATGCCAAGATGGTGCCCACAACCAAGGCGAATAGTATCCAATGCGTATGAGCTGCTCTCCTTGGTTTCTCGAGTCTAGTGAAACCTAACAACATGATGTAACAGAGAGAAAAAAAAAAAAAAAAAAAAAAAAAAAAAAAAAAAAAAAAAAAAAAAAAACTCTACAGATAGTGGCAACAACGAATTTACATCATTCCCTCTGGCCTGCTTCAAAGTCCGTGATATTAACTCATGCTTGATTACAATATAATTGAGAGAAATTCAAATTTTATTATGTGTTGATCTATTGTATGATGGTTTCTTTATAGCAAAAAGGAAAAGATTATAAGGAAAAATGTATTATAAAAGCAATAGTGAAATGTATAACAAGAAAAGGAAAATAAAAATGATATCTATAAGGTAAATTTTGCAATGCAGTAGTTGGATCTAGTCAGATTCAGTATCAGGCTCCTTGGTACCGCCTTCGATCAACCACTTGAGATGGCGTGCACGACGACGCTCTTCTTGCATTTTGACCTCATTTCTAGTCTTCTTCTTCTTTTTGGAGAGCTTTGCCTTGACCTTTTCTTCGTCAATGTTGGACTCATCATCCACAGAAGACACACCGTCCTTGTACAGTTTACCAGCGATTAACTTCCAGCTTTCAGGGCACAAGGCATCCACAAACTCATTGCTGTGAGAAATCATGACAACAGCACCATCCCACTTTTTGATAGCAGTAGCAAGACCACCAAGCGCTTCACGATCCAAGAAATTGGTAGGTTCATCAAGCACCAGCATATGACAATTGTTCCACATGGCAGCAGCAATGACAACCTTGACCTTTTGACCACCGGAAAGAGCACTCATCTTAGTGTATTGAGCGATATCAGGATCAAGACCAATGTCGCTGAAGTGTTGACGGATGTGGGGAATAGTCAATTCACGGTACAATAAACCTTCACGAGAAGCTTCCTTATCATCGAATTGTTGAACCAGCTTTTGGAAACCCAACTCGAGCAACTTTTCGCGAGAGAACCAGCTGTTGAACTTGTGAAGCTTGTTCTTCCACTTGATTTCGTATTGGAATGTCTTCTTGAGCTTGGTGCGACCCAACAAGGTTTCAATTTGACGCTCTTCGCCGTTGACAGGAATCATCTTCTCCATTTGCTTCAATTCATCATCACTCCAGGCACGAGTTTCCTTCTCGGCCACTTCCTTATCCTCACCAGTAGAATAACGCCATTGCAAGTAATCTGTAGGTGTCTTTTCAAGATGTTGGTTCAAATGGTGGAAAGCGTGCTGAGCAACATAACCGATGCGGAGAGCAGGATGACGCCACACAGTACCCGTTTGAGGGATAGTCTCACCAGTCAAGAGCTTGATCATAGTAGACTTACCAGCACCGTTAGGACCGACAACAGCGACACGAGAAGAGAGGGAAAGAGAAGCAGTGGCATTGTAGAGAGAAGGCGTCTTGTTACCAGGATAGGTAAATGTACAGTCATTGATCTTGAGGATGGCCTTGGTATTGGATCTAACACCTTGCAAGACAGATGGCTTGGGGAAAGTAAATTCAATAGTGGAGGCGTCAAGACTGTAGTAGGTACGAGCAGCAGGGTAGACGGCAACAAAGTCAGAAAGGTTACCATGATACAAACGAAGCTTCTTCTTTTCGTAGTGGAGAATTTGAGTACAAACATTGTCCAAGAAACCGGAATCGTGAGAGACGATAAGACAGGTCACTTGAGATTGGGCATTCAAATAGTCCTCAAGCCACTTGATGTTATCAACGTCCAAGTGATTGGTAGGTTCATCCAACAAGAGAATATCAGCCTTGGAAAGAATAGCGCGAGCAAGTTCGAGTTTCATCTTCCAACCACCAGAGAGAGCAGAGGCAGACATCTCGAGACGAGCATCATCAAAACCAACATCACGCAATGACTTTTCAATATCGGCACGAGGCAGGTTCTTCAAGAGATCATCGGCAGCGACATAGTCGACAATATGAAGCGAGGGATCAGCAGCTTGAGAATTATAATCTACCAAAGCAGTGCGCACTTGATCTTGAGAGGGGAAACCTTCGACTTTACCAGCATGAATGGCGTTCATCAAGGTACTCTTACCAGCACCATTTTGACCACAGAGACCATAGCGTTGACCACGATGCAACTTGAGTCTGGTATGACTCAACAAGAGACGAGTACCGTAGGCAAGAGAAAAGTCTTCCACATGGCAGATCTCCTCACCTTCTTGCTCATCGATGGCAGCATCATCGCTGTCCTTGTTACGGCTCTTGAACAATGAGTGAATGTCATTGAAAGCATCACTTACAACTGCAGGAATATCAGACTTCATGACAAAGGCTTTGAGATAAGGAGCAAACACCTGCTGCCAGTTTTCCAAAGCAAACAATTCTTGACGAGAGTAATCAGCAGCAATGGTACCGAGATAAGAGACGTAAGAAATGAAGAAAGAATCCAAGAAACCTTGAGCCTTGGTCACAGCCTTCTTGACAGCGGCAGTAGCTTCTTCAATGGAGACTTCAGTCAAAGTACCATCAGCATCCGACTTTTCAGTGACACCACCTGCATCAACCAAAGTCTGCTTGGCCTTGTTAGCCAAGACACGGATCTCGGGGAAAGCAGCAGTATCAGCTTGACGTTCGATACCAGGATACAACTGAGGCAAGAATTGAGCAGCGGTACGAGGATCGCGGACAAGCTTACACAAGTTGTCAGTGATAACAACAGTTTGACGCAAGACAGTAGTGGAACGTTCGTTCAAGGCACGAGTCAAAAGAGGCACCATGATGGCCAAAGTAGGGCCATTGACTTCAGCGACAAAGGTGGTTTGAGCAAGTTTTTCAATCGTTTGAGGCACACGAGTAGGGTCACCCATACAGAGCACAAGATCCTTCAAATGACGATGGATATCAGGATTACCGCCTACGCTACAGATCTTCATCATGGCCTTTTCTGCTGCGGTAGCTACATCCTTCTTTGTATCAGCAAGACAGTCAGAGACAGCAGGAATGATCTCTGGCAAGCATTCACCAATCTGCTCAGGGGCTCTTTCAGTGAATCGTTGCAACAACTTGAGAGCGCCAATCTTGGTTTGCCATTTCTTTGAGTTACCATTACCGAAGCCCATGCCCTTGATGAGAATAGGCAAAAGAGCCTTGGTAGCTTCAGCTGGGATCATGTCAACAAGCGTGCGAGAAGCAGTTTGAGCAGCTTCTTGAACAACAGCACCCTTATCAGCATATAAATCGAGGAAAGAATCAAGATGTTGCAATAAGAGAGGTTCGATTTCATGAGACATGACTTCCATCATGGCATTGAAACCGATAAGACCACCTTCTCTCTCCAAACCAGATTTCTTGTTCTTGGTGGAAGCAGAGAACTTGTCGAGAATACCATAAGTCTTGATCATGATCATACCTTTGGCTTGAACCAACTTGGCAAGTTCTTGAGCGGCTTGCTCAACCTCTTCAGAAGTGGGAGCAGTGTTGATCTTATTAAGGAGGTCAGCAACCATGGCTGCTTGTTCATTTGTGGTGGAAACCATCATTTACTAATTTCTTCAAGTGTAGTGTTTGAGAGAATGGATGAAAGAAATATAGTAGTAAATAGAGAGTTGTAAAAGGAATTAAATTGAGATAAGGGCTCAAAGTAATTGAATGTAATAAGAGAAAGGATAACAACTAAAGATACATCTACAAAAAAAAATTTGCCTATTTGTGTGTTCCTCAACATGCTCCGTTTTTTTTTTCAAGGGCAGTTTTGCTTATCCTAAACAAGCTCCAATCAGTTTATCCATCAGGTGAAAACGATAATGCCTCTGGCTTTTTGTGGCTTTTGTTCGAAACACAAAATCAACCACAGAAAATTGATTTCTGATTTCCTCATTAAGGGGGGGGGCGGTTATCGTAGAGATATATCAGGCTTTTCTTGGATCTACATTTCTGTCTGCATTTGGTATCATTAATATCGTTATTCACACAATGCTATACAGTATGGATGTACATGCTATTCCTAGGGATCATTTGAATCAATCCTGACACTCATTCAGAGGGAACAACGAAAGAGATCCCTGTGTGCTAAGGTCAAGCAACAACTGCCGTTCGTTGTCTGATCGCCATTCTCATGAACTTTATAATTTATGCCGCTGACTGTGAGCGGATGACCAGTACAATTAACGTCGCTGCTCAGATGCGTTTGCGCAAAGCCACCCTAATGCAGTTTATGCTCCAATCCAAGAAAGCAGGCGCCTCTTCTCTAGTAGATTGTAGCTGGTTCTGTTTGAAAGACTTGCTGAAAAAGCACTTGCCCTGAAAGTCTAAAATAATGTTCTATCAGATAACCCCTGAGTCAATGGCATTTTTCGCTAATATATTAGTGATCCGTACATGAATGCGCTTTGCCGTTGCTTATTATAAGGCAGTGCGGATGTTGGCCTATGATTCAAAAGTAACCATGGCTCTAATTAAAGCTCACCCTCTCAGGACAGAATGATAATCAAGCGCTTCAGCGTTTTTATACCACCATTACGCTCGCTTAGGTTATTTCTTATAATAAGAATGCTAAATCTATCAAACCTACGCATCATTTACTCGGTAGCGTTAAGATTGGACACTGCAAGTATTACAAGAAGATTGAATATCTAAAATGTACTATTAGTGATGAGCGCTTTCTTAGCTGCTACCCTTTGAAGCTTCCTGAAGCAAACGTAATGTATAATGGTTACTCATATAATTTGCGTATGTTCATAAAACCTGTCAAAAGCATCGATTGCTTTCATGAGAATGGTACTGATTTCGCCTAGCACTGGTGGCGGCAAAAATAATTCCAGCTCCGGTTAGCATATCTTCAAAATTGGTCAAATTTAATTAAATTCGACTTCAATTTCATTCATTTGCAAGATTCGACTATGAATTTTGTGACAATTACCCCATATCGCTCTAAGCTTTCTTGGAGTGCTTTTCAAGGCGTATCCAATGGTACCAAGTAAGATAGATATTTCGAATAAACTTATTGAGTAATTTACGAAAATACGAAAAGAGGTTTATGGTCAAAATGTCGAAATTTTACATACCAAAGTCCCGCAAAGATGATTTCAGAGGTTGCTTTGGATCGATAGAAACATTTTGATTCAAGATATACCATAGTAAAAGTCTTCATTTTCAAGATGAAAAACGCGATCGTTTGGTTTTCGATGAAAATCATGAGGGGTACCTCATGCTTTTTGGTCAATTTTTGGCCATGTTTTTGTGATCCCCAAAAAGTTGAGCAAGGGTGTCAGAAAGTAACTGCCAGATAAGAGCAATTGTTTGGTGCTATTTTGACAATCTAAAACGGCCTTGAATGCGAGAAAACGCGACTCAAATGCACTCAAATTTTACTGTATAAGGGACACTAAGGACTAAAAAGGGGTAATATCTGTATGATACTTGCCCGTATATGAAATAGCTACGTGTACAGTAGTCGCTCTATATAAGGCCGTCCTATATAAGGCTATGCGGGGAATAAGGCTGAAATTTTTCAGGTTTTTTTTTTTACCAGCTATTTAGCCTTAATAGCCTAATTTTATATAAGGCTACAGATTCTAAAAATTTTAGCCTTATTTCATAGTGGTGATCGCTGAGATTGAATTTAAGGCCAATCAGATAATAAAAAATATATAGCTTTTATTGAAAAATAACACATTTAAACAAAATAATCACGTAAATCTGTTTGATTTTTCTCTGCTACTTCCTCCGATCTGATATCGTTCAGATTCCTACGGATAGTTTTCAGCATAGACTTTTCTTTTTCATCCATTGGGATGGTATGGTACAAGATAGTTTCATACGCATGCTTCAACTTCTCTCTTATCTCCTTCGTATCAACATCGTAAATCTCTACTGGTTCTTCCTCTACCTCAAGCTCTTGTGATCCATGGGTAACATCATCGCCATCCTCAAATTCAACAATCACGGGATTAAAAACGATTGCATCAGACTCATCTGCATTTAGATCCAAGTCGTTTACTTCAGTTACCAATTGAACCCCATCATTACTTCTGTTTCCAGGAAGTTCAGGGATGATTTCGTTCAACTGGCTGACTAGATCATCGTCTAAAGGTAGCTCGAAAGATGGGAGTACATCCTCCGAGTCGACTCTCTGTCTCTGAGCAAACTTAAAATCAAGGATCTTCGTATGATCCCAGCAATTTTGGATTGTTTGAGGCTTAACTTTGATCCAAGAATCAGCAAGAAAATACAGAGCATCCACCTCATCCATTCTGTATTCCTCGGTAAGATCAAGGCTTACCCCAGCAAGATACTTGTTCACTGCCCTGTAGTATTGGTGCCAACGAAACTGAGCCTTGAAGTTCGCAATGATTCCTATCGAGTGTGTGATTAGAGATGAGTACGTATATCAATGAAATTTGTTGATTTACCGGCATCCAAAGGCTGCAACTTGCTTGTTGTGTTTGCTGGAAGGAAAATCAACTTAATATTGCTGAATTCTTCTTTCAATTTATGCACTGAAGCATTGTCAACCAAGAGAGCAACTTTTCTTCCGGCGTAAACGAAAGACGCATTCAAACGTTTTACGTACTTCCTAAAGATGTCGGTGTTCATCCATGCATTGGGAGATGAATGGTACTCCACGTAATGGGATTGCCCGATGTTGGTGGTTCTTCTGTACAAAGCAGGTTTTTTGTTTGCTGCCTTTGGTGTCTTTCGTTTCCCAATTACAATGGGGTGCCCTTTATAGGATCCATCATAGTTGGTGATTAGTCCAACTGTGAATCGGTTCTTGCTTTTCCTTGAACCACCTAAAGGTTCCTGACAAATGGTGCGAGTTGGTTGTTGCTCGTAGTATAAGCCAGTTTCATCAAAGTTGAGAATATCTTTGGGATCATATGGCTCCAACAATTCTTCAATCTTTCTGAGTTCTTCGACAATCTTAGATGATGTTAAGTCGACTGAGCTTTTTTCACCATATAAATGTCTTGACTTGACACCAATTCTCTTGAAAACATCGGTTAGCCATCCATCTGAGAAATGGATTTGCTTATTCTTTGGCAATTCATGCATGCGGTACTTTCTGTGTGCGACTACTTTTGCAAAAGCTGCAATAGTTCCACGATTGACAGGAAGAGATTTTGCATTCATGGCTTGAATGTACTCCAAAATGTCATTGTCCAATTGTGGCATCGTCAAGGCTCTGCTGCTTTTTCCCTTCAAATTTCCTCCTTCGTAAGCTTTGATCACCTTGTCCTGTGAATTCAAGACGTTCGATACAGTTTTTTGCTTGACTGAGTGATGAAGGTTGAATTCCTTTTGAGCCCATTGACCGAGTTGCATTTGCGTCAGATTAGGAAAGTGCATGTTGTGCATAATAATGCGATACTTTTGCTCGATTGTGAGGCGATCTCTTGATCTTTGATTAAGGCACATGATAGGATATTACGTTCAATAGAAGTAAAATAAACAGATAAATGAATGTTACTGGGGAGGTATCAAGTTGATTTATTTGATCAACTATTATAGTAATAGATTCTACGCGCACGACTTTTTTGACAGAAGTCACGCGCGCCAGTTAAGGCTATGCGGGCAATAAGGCTAAAAAAACCTCGCCAAAAAAGTAGCCTTATATAGAGCGACTACTGTATACAGATGTAGAGCTTCACATAAGAATCAGATCCACAGATAGTATAAAGGGATTTCATGTGCAAGTAGAGGACCAAAATGAAAATAGCAGTATTTTCATAAGATACGCCAGGGCAATTGGTAGCGCGAGCTACCGCTGCGCAGGTTAGTTCTCAACGAAGCGAAGCGAAGGTAGAGAACCATCCGAAGCATAAACGCTCGTATGGTTAGTGATTTTATATCAATCAACAATCAAGGTTCTTCTAACATTTTAGCTGTATAAATCTTGCGATATTAGCCAAAGGCTCATGTACAAATGAACAATGTAAAGCAACGACATGTGCGTCGTCATAGAGAGAGACAAGTGTATATGTATAATATTCCGTCTTTTACAAATCAACATACCTAAAGTTGCGCTCAAGTGCCATAAGTATCTAGTCAATAGGTGGCTCATAAGAATTTTTTAAGGTGATCCGTATCAAGCCTGAAAATGTAATAGGTGATATGTAATCCTTTAAACTTTATTTAAAAAAAAATGTAATTTAGACGAGTGCTTTATGCTGATCTACCTACAGCTATTCACAAATCATGAAAGCTATGTTATTTAATTGATTTGATAGTCTGACTTCAAGTTCTGGAGAGCCCATTCACCCCAGGCCTTATGCACTTTGGCTTCAGGATGGTAACTAAATGGAGATACATGTTAGTAAAAACGTAGGCTACAAAAAGTTCTAAACGTAAAAATACCTGTCCCAGAAGAAGTGCTTGTCAGTATCTGTACAAGCAGTGGTGTTGCCAATGCCCCAGACACAAGGACCATTGGTGACGGACAAACCCAGAGGGGCAGGATTGGCAATTTGTTCTTCAAACCAGCCATGGAGGTCATAAAACTTGGCGTTGATGCCGCTAATCTTCTTGATTTCACCTTGAACATAGTTGTTGTAGTCATTGATCATCTTCTTAGCCTTGGGCTTGTCAGCATCCTTGATGACGGGCCAATGGTCAAAGGGAGCAACGCTGAAGAAGGCGAATTCCTTGGCGTGGTACTTGGCGATGATGTCCTTGACAGCACTAGCGACGTTTTGACCAACCTTCTCGTAAGAATAGTTCTTGTTGACAACCTTGTATTGATCAGGGTTGATGATAGAATTCAAGTCATTGTAACCGATTTCGATAATGTACAAACTGTCAGCAGTACCACTGGATTCCAAAGTGGAGACTTGTTGCTTGAGACCAGGTACAGTCCAACCGTTAAATTCAGAATATGCGTCCAAATTATTCGTAGTGGCTCCACCGTAACCATGATTCTCAACAGGGATAGAGACATCCTTGGCGACATACTCTAACCACGTGGGTCCGTTAGAATATCGTCCCTCGTAATAGGGGGGGCTCTATTTAAATACGTCGTTAGAACAGGCACTCATACTGCACAGTGTACTTACGGGAGGGAAGTTGCTATTCTTGTAATCGTTGCCGTCATCGGTGTAGCTATCAGCAAAGACAACAACTCTATCGACAGCAGCAGAAACAGCGGAAGCAGACAAAGCCACAAGGGAAGCGATAACAGAGAGTCTCATTGTAAAATTCAGTAATCAGTTGATTGATGGTAGGCTAGATCAAACAACTGATTTTGTTGGTTTTTTATACTTTTTCATGTTCATGAATTTTTGTAAAATTGGCGAGCTAGTTACCATCAAAGAGACGGAGGATTGGAACAGTTATCTGAATTGAAACAGAACGTTGGGCAAGGGGTTGGCCCAATGCATTCCAAACCGATGCACTTTGAGCGGTGTAATCTCGATACTGCCGATCAAACGCGCGCAATTGAGATGAAATACGGCTATTTATCAATTTTCAATTATCAAAAACATTCTGCAAACTACTATTGAAGAGGGTTTATGCAACGGTTTTATTCAACTAATAAAGTTATGCCAGTGTTCGGATATGTACATAGGGTATTTAGCGACGAACAAGTTCCCATTGTTGGTTAGCAGCAACAGTGCCGCTACGCTTCTCGTACAAGATGACTTCAGCGCCATTCTCATCTTCAGCACCCTTGATATCGAGGACCAAATCAGGATTGGAGGAGATATGGATGTAACCTTCATGGTCAATCAGCCAGCGTTGCTTCTCAATTTCCTCATCATTGGAGGTAGCCTTCTCATTTTGGACGATGCGAACTATCATACCAAATTATGTCAGATGTATACAACTAGGCAAATAAGTGTCTATACTCACCGTCAGACTTGACTTTACTGCCCTTGATGTCAAGAACCTTGCCACTGTGGAGGTTGACAAAGTTGCCGTTTCTGTACTCCCACAATTGGTTTTCGTTATCGCTGCTCTCCTTCTGTTGCCAGACACAAACCTTGGCGCCGTCTTTGGTGGAAGCGCCTTCAACATCGAGCACACGCTTGTTGAACTACAAATACAAGTTTTACGTGAACCGAGTTAATGGTTGTAGACTTGGCCAGTGATAGTCCGGCTTCTTACCTTTGAAACAATGAAGAAAGGGCCTTGGGGAATAGATGCAGTCATTTTTGTATGATAGTTTCAGTTGTAGGATATTATTTTGATAAGAAGCGAAAGCAAGTGGAGTATGGAAGGTATTTATAAATGGCTTGAGCTGCAAACTTTGAGTTTACTGACGTCGGGATGATGAAGCAAATAACACACGGGCTAATGCCGGTTCAGTTAATATCAAAGCCTAAATATATACAGGTTATACAGGCCAACATGTTTTAGAACCTTCCTTGGATGTCGTAAACAAATAATAAACGTAATGTAGAATGAATGAGGTATACAACTATATTTATTAAATGGCCCAACTTGAAGCAACATCTATCTCTTCATCACCAATAAACGGTTGATCAATCGACTTGATCATGATATCGCCACACAATACACATTCACTTGCTACGATATCATCCAGTTCCTCACGCAGTTGCTCAATTTTACCCATGGTCAAGTCAGGATCAATCTTGCTTTCTTCATGGACTGCATCCGATGGGAATATTACATTTTTAGCCGTGTTCATGAATCGAGTAGTGGTTGCACCAATAGGTGATTTGGAACTGCCATTACGAGATGAATTACCATTAGTCTCCTTGGCAATTGAGTCTTGAATGATTTTGACACGCTTCATGTGTCGAGCAGGTAAGACCTTGTACATCTATCGATTTTTTGTTGAGTTGAACCTTAATTGATATTCATGCAAAATGAGTTTATTACCTTGTCCAAAAGGCAATCACCATGGAAACCATGTTGGCATGGAAACATGTAAAATGCTCGCATGTAGAGAGGATACTGACAGCAGTAACATTGATCAGCGGCGTTGACAAGAGCAAATCTAGCCTCGAACATTAGCTATCAAATCACAGTAAACGCTGATACAAGCAACCACCTACCTGCTTCTCAGCTCTCGAATATCTAATCGGATACTGTCTCCACTTTTAGTGGCTTCGTCCATTTCTATTTTAATGTCATCGATTGTATCATTGTATTTTTCCAAGGCATCGCAAATCTCTTCCTATTTTCCAGCCGATCAGCTACCATACCCAATAACGAAAAAGATCTCCATTTTACCTTAAAGTCGTCTATCAGTACAAAATCGGGAAAGAATGGCAGGATATCTTCGATTTTGAGCAGGTTGCTTTGCTTGAGAAATTCTAGCGCAGACTTAATGTCTTTATTATCCTGAACGACATGTTTCGCAATAGTAAGCCAGAGCTTCTTTCGGAGGACATCATCTTCTTCCGGTTTATCTGCGTTAATACGTGCAAGTTCAACGTCATGATTCTATCAATTCATACACAACAAATAAAATTAAACCTTATCGAAGAAAGCTAGCTTTTTTTTTGAATACCTTTAACGCCAAGTTAACAGCTTCTTCGTAGAGCCCCATTTGGCTGTAAATGTGAACACAGCTCTGAGTTCTTCCGTTTTGAGTACATAAGCGAAGTGCATAATCGAGGTTGTAATGCATTTCTCGGCCCTATTGGAAGCAGATGAGTTGACTGTGCGAGCATGTAAATTCAGTCAATCACCTCATTTTTCAAAAATGTTAATAATGCTGTTTCATCTGTTGTCTTTTGAGTAGCATAAAGAGTGAGCAGGAAATTGTGGATAGCAGGATCTGTGTTATTCAAAGACGTAACAACGTGTGACAAATAACGTATAGCCTGATTCTAAAATATGCGCAGGGAGAGATTAGATGATGATGATATAATGGTCGAGATAACTTACTTGCGTGGATTTCTCGACTAATTTCTTGTGATCATACCTCAACAAGGCAGGGATCAGTTGTCTGGGGTTAAGATTGCTCTGTCTCATCCAAACATTGACTGTTTCATAAGGGTCATTCTCCATCAACACGGGTGAGAACTTGTAAAATACATCAGGATCTGCTTCTTTTGAGAGGACTGCAAGTGCTTTGGTCCAGTTCTTTTCCGTAATCCAGTGGCTAATCACTTTATCGTAATCTCCAATCAAGGAGGCAAAAAACAGAAACTCGTCGTTGCGTCCTTGGCTAGCAATCAACTTGTACGTGGTAGGACGATGCAAGTTACCGCTGTATGTTTCTAGGAATGTCTTGAACTCATCACGCACTTCATCCAACTGTTCCAAAAAGTAGGCTTCGGTATTTGGTGTCAAGCTGGTGGCCTCGTTTGGTATAGGAGAGCAATGTGCAGAGGACGCTAGGTCCTCCAGCTCATTCAACTTGGAGAGGTATATTTCGACCAACCATGTAGCAAGCATAGTCTTTTGTGCCTGATCGTTCTTTCGTAATCGACTCAGTTTACTTGACAAGTACACCCTCAGTGCATCCACTTCTCCCTTCTCCACAAACATGAGTGTCACCTCTTCAAACGGAACTGTGCTGTCGGCAAAGATTTCAGCGCTCATCTTGAAGCGTCGTTGTCCAAAGTAATCCTTGGCTTGGGCTGTAAACACCTTGTCCTTTTGTGCTGGATCCTTACAGTAACGCAATGCTGAATTGTATCTCTTCTTTTCCAAGTAAAGCTTCCAGACATCGCGCTCCTCGTTGTTGATAGTGAGCTCATACATGGCCAATGTAGTGTATACCCAGAATGTCTTTTTAATGTCGTCTACAGTCATATTGATCACTGTCTCGTCATGTCCCTATCAAAGACTGTCAAGTCATGTCGTAGATGGTGCCCATCCTACTGAAATTACCATGGGGATCATTTCTTCGTATACAATCTGATCATTCAATTGACAGATGGCTCGGACACGATCCTTGTACAGTAATACAAAATGAAACTCTGTCAATGCAACGGAGATGGGAATTTCAGTAACCAATTTGCCAGAGTCGTCGTCTGATGGTGTAGCAGGATATCTAGCATTTTGACAAATAAGCACCCATGTCGTTTGCTATGAATTCATACTTACTGCAGCAGCTGGACATCATCCACCACACTATCACCCACATTCTGAGAACCGTACACAAGAGCACCATGATAAATACCAGGACCTGTGAGCCATGCAAACGACTCTGCGATGCCTTGCTGCTGCAATTCATGGAATCGACTAAAGAAATGCAGTTCACTGTGCGGCAACTCGCCAGGCAACTCCTGGTATCCTGGGTTCACATCATATTTGGAAAACAGCTTTTCAAACATGGCCTTTTCGCCCCTTTCCTCCACCACATCACCATTTCCAAGGCTAGGAGAATGAGTTCCATTTGTAGCGTTGGGACCCACAAAGCCTATAAATTGATAGATGCGAGTGGTGGTGGTGGCCATGACAAAGTACTTTCGATTGTTGACTGGAAACTGTTCAAAGTAGAGGCCGGTGATTGGCATTGTTGATTCATGAATGGAGTATACTTGCTTGAAATATTTCTCCTCCTTTTTAAAGTATTCATCTGCTGGTTCCAAGCATGTTTCGTAGATGAGGCCGTTCTTTGTACCTATCAAGATTTCGCGCGTGGATGGATCTGTTAATGTAGCTTGTTTATTCCAAGCAATAGAAGTGATGATGACCCCCTATGCGTAGAAATGGGTGATTTGTCCCTCAGTTAAATCTGTTTATCGATAATGGGCATACCTTGAATTTAGGCAAAGGCTTTGTTCTCCTCCATTTCTCATACAAGTAGTAATTCTCTCCATGATCGGTGGTGATGATTAAATGTCTGCCAGTTGGATCAAAGAATATCTGCTTGACCTTGCCATCGCTTGGCTTGCGAACAATCTCAATTTCTACCAGCACATTAGATATCACACAGATAACCCACCCACTCAAAGATTTGTAACACTCACCTTCAACCTCTAAGGGATTATCCAAATCAATCCTCAGCAATCGATATGTATCAAGTGCAACAATCAAAATGTTGTTTGAAACTGCCATATCCACCAGCTTTGCAGGCATTTGAAATTGAACATAATCGATGCCAAAGATGGGCTCTTCTACTTGACCAAATCCTGTGGAGACATAGCCTGTTTCCAACTGCAGCAAGGATAAATAAACAGAGTGTTTCAAAGTATGTGCAGTTCCAGTTGGCTTACCCGAATATTATCTTGTCCATCGAACCCGTTTGTTGTAGAAGTAAAGGTATCTGCTCCATATTGAACTGTGGAAGTTCCATGTGCTGCTTCTGAGGATTCAATAAAGTCGTCTAAAAGCGACATTTAGGTGTTGTATGGTAGTAAAGAAAGTAAGAACAAGTGAAAAATAAAAAATGAAAATGAATTTACACGGTCGCTTAACTTGTAATACATCGTCAGTCGGTCTTCTCCTGCTGTGTTTAGGCTTGCACTTTTTGTGTGCGCTCGTTCCTTCAATGCGCTTATAAATATGTGATAACTGCTTCATTTTAAATGGCCGTTGTGGTATCTTTCAGTGCGGCCCTGCATAGTATCGAAACTTGTTTCAAACATTGAGCCATTAATCCAAGTTATAGTTTTGGTGGTTGCAAGCTGCTCAGAAAGCCGTCTATAGTTAAATCTCGTATGTGCTCAATTTCATCAGGCTGTAAGAATCAAGGTACATCCTTGTGCCCTACAGTCAATTCAAAAAGCTTCGGCACAAATGCATCAGCATCAATGCTTGGATTTGAGATTTGCACTGCCGCTAATAGTATCCATTGTAAACTGTGATAGACGATATAAATAAAATATACGAAATAACCATCAAGACAAGCCTACTACTAGTCATATGCTTGATCTCTATTCTGTTACAACAGATCAAAAAAGTTGAGTCTGTCAAAGTAGTACCTCCGACAAACTGCTTTGAAAGCGACTGCAAATGCAACGATTTCACTGAGCTGACAGTATCTGTGCAATTCTGTCAAGACTAATAAGTTCATTCTCTCCATATCAGGTGTATGCCTCACGACAATAAAAATGCAACATGCCAAACTGGCAAAGGCACTGGCTAACTAGAATTCATAATGGCGAGCCTTTTCAATATGATCTTTTCAATAAAATCAGACCCGAATTTGATATAGAGAAATAGTTCATTTTCTAGTTCTACTATGGATTGGATCATTGACATGCTCAATACTTTTGGGAGACTTAAGGTGCCCACGATATCTAAACCCTCAAACAGCCCGTAGCATTTCCCTCATTTATCAAGTCTATTCACGTGGATTTGCTCTGGCTGTATGTAAGTCTTTGGCATGAACTAGAGATTTGTTCTGATGAACCCTGTTATTTATCTGTCAATTGTTATTGAAACTAAAGGCATCTGTCGCCATGCCGTTGATTCAAGTATCAAAAACCTGCATCAAACAGTTGAAATCAGGCAAAAGACGACAACTTTCGAGCGCGTTTTCTCGACGATTACGACGATTTAACGCCTCGAGCTTGGTCCAAAGCATTTCTCTCAAGTTTTAGCAACTTCCTGATGCATTATTTTAATTTTTTTTCGTGATGAAAAGTTGGCGAAAATCCATGAGGTACCATAAACAAAAATCGAAGGATACGCTTTGATCGCGATTTTCACCTTGAAAACGACGATTTTTACTATAACCTATATTATATCTAAATGATGCCAGAGCTCTAATGCACATGCTCATGGCGTAATACGGGCTATTTTATAATAGGAATTGGCAGTTTTGGCCATTAATATCAATTTTGCTATTTTTGAAAGTTGCGCAAGACTTTCGCACACAAACTTTGACGTTCTATACACCAAAAGATGCAGAATCAGCTACTCTATAGGCTATATTAGAGTTATTTACCGCATTGAATATGCTATTTGTAAAGATATTTGCTAAAAAAGGTGAAATTTTTTTCGATTTTGCGAAACGATCATCAGGGAACCACAAAATTTTGATCGTGCAATTCGATCTCCGACATATTACTTGAAAAGCGCTGATCCACGCAAAACCATGGATGCAAATGCAATGATGAGCGGATTAATAAGCAATTTCGTAAAACTGTAAGAAAAGCAACCTAACTGCACCTCAAGAAATTGAGTTTTCAAACTAGTTTTTTATGGTGAACCAAATAGAGGCCTAAGGATAGCAAATAAGAAAAGATTACACACATGAAAAAGGAATATTTTATTTACTACAATTGACAAAAGAAAAGGAGTTTCTATACCATAACTATAAAAAAATTCTCCTTCTTACTTAGTCGGTACCAAAGTATCTACAACCGAAATCACCACAACCAGGAATGATATACTTTTCTTCATTGAGACAGGCATCGAGTTCACCAATGACAATCTTCACCTTGGGATAGCGATGAACAAAAGCATCGATACCTTCGGGAGAACCGATCAAGTTCAAAAAGATGATACGCTCCTCCTTGACATTGTTATCGAGCAAAACTTGAACAGCTTGCATAGCGGATCCACCAGTGGCTATTGTAACAAAAACTTCGTCAATGATGGCTCAAATGCATCATGATAATTTGATCCTTACCGAGCATGGGATCCAACAAGAGAACATAACGGGAAGCAATGTCCTTGGGGAGTTTAGAATAGTAGAGCTACGTATGGAAATTGGGATGTTTGAGTAAAAAGGAAATGATCACCAGTTTTTTTTTTTTCTCTCTCTCTCTTTTCGTCCATTTACCTTGGGTTGGTGTGTTTCCTCGTCACGTTGGATCAAGATCTTACCAATTCTAACGCTTCTGCAACACTCACGCAAACCTTGTTCCATAGCCTCACCAGCACGCATAATGGAAACACCACAAATACGGCCTTCAAAATCGATACCATTGTATTCAACATTGGTAGGCGTCATAACATTTTTATCGACGACAGGCAAAAGGTTCAAACCTGAGAATACCCAGCATTTAATTCAATACAATTGCGTACTCCCAGATTTTCGTATTTAATATTACCTTCTTCAACGAGGAGACGAATGATACGATCAGCATAAAAGATGAAATCGGAACGAGGAGTCTCTTTATCACGGATGATAGTCATGAGGCCCTTTAATTGAGTGGTTTGTGCAAGAAGCTTGACTTGCTCAGGCAATTTATAGTTCTCAGTGCCAGACATGATTGCGATGAAAAAGAATAGGTGAAGTTTGTTGGTTGATGAGACCAAGAAGAAAACACAAAAAGAAAATTCGTCGCATTTCTTTTATAGCCCAAACATTTCTGAAAGAAAAAATTATCTCACCCAGTCACGAGGGGTTCCGTTTAAGGTATCTCCTTACCAGAGATTTACAGACCTGAATCGCTGTTCAATCTTCAGAAATGCAACTTTAAGCATGGTGTTCCAATGGTAAGACCAGGTAGGGTTTGCTGAGGAGGAAGTTTGACTATATACATGTCTATGAGATTAGCAAATCGGTTCATCCAAAAGGCTTATACATGTGGATGAATATCATATCAATCATCGTGCCAGCAGTCTCAGTAACAATATAGCCTAGTTCTTACTAAGATACTTGGTATACTGTCCGTAATTATTGATCTCCGAGTCAACGATAAGAAATCGGTATCCTGGTGTAGCGCAACGTGTGAAAATTTGGATATCCTCAATCAAAAAGTTAGAAATGTTGAAATGCTCCAATGTTGAGGATGGAAATCTGTGCATTTGGTGAATTTATGCGCCATCAAGCAGAGATGTTTCATTGCTTTGGCTGTCATTGCCGCTGCAACGTGGCCAGATAGAATGTCAAGATTCTTCTTTTCCCCATTTTCTGACCTCAGCATGTGGTTAAACGTTTATGAACTTGCAAGATTTGTCATTAAAACAAACTAAATACCATGGTATTGGTCCCAGACAAAATGTGAGTTACCTAAGCCGACATCTCGGTTGATATCTCAGCCCTATCCAAAATCAAGTCGAGGCCGACAATCAAGAGTATACAGTGTACCCGCCCTGAATGATAGCCATGTCAAATCAATGATCTGTCAGGGGCACGATCAAAATTGCTAGGCTATCATGTTTTATTAGTGGATATCAGATGGACATTTGCCCTTGGATTTATCGAGGACATTGACACTGGCCTCCTATTTTCCGATGCGTAGAGTACATATGCACTTGATAGCTAATTTCATAGCATTTTTATTGATTTCTCGCCTAGTCATTCTGATTTATGGATATCGCAATCGTTTGACGGTGCTCTAAATATTCAGTTCCCCTTGTTGACAAACGACTGACAAGCCGTTTGTCCGAAAGCGCACTTTTTCACAGTTCAATTTGAGTCAAAAACATGCTTGTGAATGAATTAGCAACAGAGGATCGTGAAGCCATCAGAGTAAACAGTTCAACTACATGTCCTTATTTTTCATACTCTAATTTTAGTTTTGCATTGAAAGAAACTTCAAAATGACATCAGCTCTCTCTATGCTGTTGTAGCTGAAGATTATAAAGAAGAATGGAAAAAGGAGTGTGCAAAGCAAACCTACAGAGAATGTCCTGATATTCCGGGTGTGGTCACTCAGGTATATGCATTTTCTAGTGTGCCAGTAAGCTGGATACTCATGATTGAATCACTAGGTCGAACAAGGCTGCAAAGATTTGGAAATCTTGGACCAATGTCAAATTATCCCTGTCGAATCTGATTATTATGACTGGGAACTTCAACAAAGAGCGTACGTGGGATGCATCTTGTCCCAATCGAGTCAACTGACTGATATCTTGTGCATTAGTTTTAGAGTCGATGCTCCTTCAAAGGAGCACATGTGCAAGAGTGTTGTGATGGAAAACACCCGTTGTACACATGAAGACATTTCAGGTATGTATTGAGGTTGATGCAACAAAAATGTAGATGAATTCAACCCGTGTGTATGTGTGGATTAGACCCCAACTATTCAAGATACTATTGTGTTATCACTCAGGTAGGTGGAGCATGCTTGGTAGTCTGTATCAAATGGAACCGCTCAACTGACTAAAACCTGTAGTATGTCAAACCTGTCAACACTCAAAAAATGCTGAACTTTTGCCGAGGCTTAAAAAATAAGGAGATTAGTAAAAAGTACTACAATTTTCGATTAGCAGATCCTGAGGTAAAGGTCGCACTGTGATTCTACACACAATGGGAACTTGCTCAAATTTTACATTCATATCAGGTGTCACTTAGATTGACAGGTTACAAGAAGGGTGGGGTCTGTCCTATAGGTGAGTTTAGATGGCCTTTTGAAAGGTTTACACTTGTATAACAAAGCAACTTTCAGGTATGAAACAACCAATTCCTATTATACTTGCTGAGTCAATTACAAAGCTGGAGGTAAGAATTTCGTTCAAGCATCGTCGGCATCTTGCAGAACACTCAACCTGAAACTATAGCCATCTGTCATTTACCTCGGTGCTGGTCATATTGATTGGAAGCTTGGTATCCCTGTAGACACATTCATCGACTCCACCAAATGTTTTGTTGCTGATTTAGATTAGGTTAGAATGCATGTAGCGGAGGTTGGCTTCCGGAATGAATCCGTTTGATAGAATCAGAGAAATACCATGTATTTATAGAATAAAAAGACGCTTGTAAATTGCTGCAAGACATTATCAACATATTTGACGGTCGGGCCATCATCGAAAGGCGATATCCTTACCACAATGCTTCGTTTTGGGGGGGGGGGCTACAGAATGACGACTCGACACTATTTGAGGGTTTTTTTTTTTTTGTTGGCAAAATCCCATCTCGGCTCCGGTTTTTTGTATTTAAAATGCACAGTGTCAAATTGGTACCTATTTTTGCCCTTTCTCTTCTGTTTTTATTAACCAACTGCTTATCATGCGTGTCTTGTTTCCCAGAAGCAAATTGAATGATAACACTATTCCATTGCAATTTCAGCAGGATTTGGCATATTTAAGGTCATCTGACAAAAGCAATGCTGACAGTAATGTTGAGAATGCTGATTCCAGTGTATGTTGCACACTCACATTGTGTCCATGGTATCTAAAAACGGTTCAATTAGAAGGCGGATGAGGACAAATCAGAAGCAACACCCTCTGAAAAGGGCTCAGGCAATCCTACCACTGTTGATGGCAGTAATGAAGAGACATCTTCTACCAAGGCCGACAAAGAGGACGACAGTACCTCGACAGCGAAGAGTAAAGACGATGATGAAACATCAAAAGCTAAAGATAAAGATAAAGAAACGACTCCTATTGATCAAGGCGATACGGAAAGCACATCCACATCTGATACCAAAGATCAAGATGATGAAACATCGTCCAGTGACAAAGACGATCATGAATTGACAACCGCCAAAAGTGACGGCAAGAGCAAGGAAACAAAATTGACAGAAGCAAAAACAGTCGAATCATCAGCATCTTTAGATCAAGATGAAGAAACAACGACTGTTGAGGACAAAGAGGAATCGACCACAAACGCTGAAGATCAAGACAGCAGTATATCAACATCAGATGAGGAGGCTGCAACCACAGGTAGACATAAAGAAACCACCTCTGATAGCAGTGATGAACCTACAAGCACTACTTCTGATAACAAGGTAATGAATGGATTTATACTTAAATGCCACTTATTGATACATATTGTAAAAGAATGAGACGGCTACTAAAACTCAAAAGACAAAGGATAGCCGAACTGAATCTAATGCTGAATCAGAAACAACAGCGCAGACAGCATCTTCTGAGAATGAGTCAACGACAGATGAAGTAACTCTTACCAGTACAGACGATAAAGAAACAACATCTAGAACAAGAGACAGATCTACGACTGAAGCAGATACTACCAGCGACTATAAAGCGATCACAAGCGATGAAGAGCCTACGAGCACATTAGCGAATGAAAAAACATTGACAACAGATCAAGAGGCTCCAACGACTACAACCATGAAAAAGACTTCATCTAAAGAGGATCCTAAATCAACTGCTACGACATCTAACAAAGAGACAAGTAAAGCAACTACCGAAGAGGAGCAGACTACCTCTACTGAGGCAAGCACTACGTTTACGACGGAAGAAGAGCAAACCACAACATCGTTTAATGAAGCAACCACTACCTCATCATCTGGAGAGGAGGCTACGTCTTCCACAGATCCTGAAAGAATGACCAGAACTAAGAGCAACCCCACTGAGACAACCACGACAGATGCAACATCCGCTGAAAGTACCCAAGATCAAACAACGGCTAGCTCTGAACAAGCGACCATGACTAAGGAGCAAAAGAGTAGTGCAACAACCTCTGAACAAAGTACCACAAAGACCTCTGAACAAGAGCAAGCTACAACAACATCTGCAAAGGCAACTTCCATCTCTGATAAAGAACAAGGAAAAACAACGACAAAGGAATCGACTATTGCAACATCTACAAAGGATCAAGCTACAACGACATCTAGCACAGAGAGTAATGAGCCTACTACTTCTTACGCGAAAGACACAACAAGCTCAACCGTTGCTGAGAGCACTGCGGATACTACGATTATAACTAGTGAAGAGCAAGCCACTACCACAACGGGCCAAGGGATCACAAAAACGCTTGCTAGTAGGCCTACTGATACAAGCACATCTGAGACTTTGAATACATCAACAACAGTATCTGAAGAGGAAACTAGCACAGATACCACTGAGAGCCTAAATACAAGCTCCACTGCGCAACATACCACTGCGACAAGTACTCAAAAGCAGCCTACAACAAGGAATGATATGACCTCAACAACAGATCCAGATCAGACAACCACGTTGACTGATACGCCAACAGCTACAGAATCTAAGCAATCAACCTCTGCTACAAAGACATCAGAAGAGGTGCCAACTACAGTAGCACCCACTGACGCCAGCAAAACAACCAATGGTCCAGACAACTCATCTACCACAGCCAATGCTGAGACGGCCATGACAACTAGTGGAGCGGCTAGTAGCACTACTACCGCATCGAATGAAACACCTGGTACAACTACCACAAATCTAGAAGCATCATCTACATCCGATACAATGTCAAGTCAAGTTGCTACTACTATTACAAGTTCAGATGTGGCTACGGTAACCGAGAGAGAATCTGATACTGGTAGCAGCAATACAACAACCATAACAACACTACCAGCTGCAACGACATTGGAAGAGAGTGATTCAAGCAGCGATGGACTAGCCATTTCTACTAGCACCAGTAGTGCCACGGCAACTACTAGCAATCCGGCAGAGCAGACATCGACAACGTAAGTATTCATGCAGCACTGATGTCTCTCGGTCTAGACAGCGTACTCATCGTTATCGTCCCTTTTTTTTTTCTATATTCAAACCTTTTTGCTGCTATTCTTGGCCGTGTTGATGCTTCATTTACCGACATTCTGATTGATGCTAACCTTGTTGTGTGCTTCTCGGGTGCTACACACATATTTCCATCTGGTTTCATTTTATTCACCCCGCGACGTCCTGAATTTGGTATCTGTAAATTGACATGCCAACACATCTGTCTTGTTCTTTCTCCTTCTTTCACCTCACCATTGGAAAATGCCCAAATCTGACGACACCAATACTGCCATTGACGATCCTACTGATGATAATAACGACACACCTTCATCCAAAAACGATGCCTCCAAATCTACCGATAAAAATGACACCAAAACATCGGATAATGGCAGTGATGGATCCACATCAAGCGGTGAACAGGCCATGACTACTTCAAAGGAAGCCAAGACGTCTACCACCGAAGCTGCTGCTACTACAACAACAAGAAAGAAGGAATCCACTACTACTGCCACATCCGATCGTCCTTCAACTACCGCTCAGACCACCACTGATAGAGATCAAACCGCGACAACGATCGAGTCGAGTAGTACAACAAAGCAGGTGCAACCAACGACCACAGAACCAGAATCTACCACTAATAGATCTACCGAACCAGCAACTACATCTGATGAACCTACAAAGACCACACAAAGGGAATCTAGTAGTCGAGTTGAAACAACATCCAGTCGAGATACACCTACCACAACAACGGAAGTTCCCACCACATCTCAGGAGGAACAGACGAGCAGCTCCACCATTGAGCCAACTACATCTCGCCAACCAGCAACATCTACACAGCGTACCACTTCTGCTGATCCCACTACATCTGAACAGAGAAGCGAGACCTCTTCAACCACAGCATCTACATCGAGTGAGCCTACGATGACCACTGAAAGGTCTAGCAGCGCAACAGCAGCTGCTGAATCCTCAACAGTTCCCGCGGCTACCACATCTGACACCAGCGTAAATATAGAAATCTATAAATACCAACTGAATATGAAGCTTTTCTTCTTCTAACATGAACCATACTTTAGATGTCTGCAACCACTTTTTCAACTGAATCCCCACAGTCCACGACAGCAATGGCTTCAAGTGATACATCGTCTACGGCTATTGGAACGACGACAGATAAAGAGAGCTCAATAGTAGCACCCACCACGACCAGCACCACAGATGCTAGTGCTTCTGCCACAACAAAAGAGCTTACATCTAGTAGTAGTCAAGTGCTACCTGTTCCTACTACCACATCCAACATGGAAAGCAATACTGCAACAACTACTCAAAGCACAGCTCCATCTGTCACTGAAAGCAGCACTCCATCAGCTAGTGAAAGCGTCGTATCCACAACAGAGAGCGGTACTGCATCTACCACGGACACTGGTACTGTCATTTCCACAACAGAGAGTAGTACTATGCCAACTAGTGATAGCGCTATCGTATCGACTACTGATAGTGCAGCTACATTCACTACCAGCAGCACCACCAGTGCCCCTACTGGTAATAGTGCCGTTACATCAACTACAGACAGTGCTGCTCCTTCAACTACTGAAAGTAGCATTGCATCTATATCAGACAGCATCATTGCTTCCACAACAAGCAGCTTACCTCCTTCAGCCACTGATAGCATAGTCGCAACAACAACACAAAGCATCGCTCCATCGAGTACAGACAGTGCAGCGATATCAAGCGCTGAAAGTAGCATTGCCACCACTACTGAAACGGCTACTCTTTCTGCGACAGATAGTACAATGGCTCCCTCTACCACATATTCAAGCACTGTGATTGCACCTACTGGTTCAAATACTGTTTCCGCATCATCCGCTACATCTTCAAATCCTGTCAGTACAAGTAATACAGCAGTAGCAACTTCAACAACAGTGATACAGCCAGAATCCAGTGCTGTGGCCACTCTTCCGCCAACTTCATCCACTGAATTTCTATCGTCTGCTACTGCTGTTTCGAGTGATAGCGTCATGACAGAGATCTCTTCCTCTCTCGTTGCCACTTCAGCCAACCCATCAGTTACAATGACTGCATCAGATACAGCATCGACAAGCTCCATGTTGGTGGTAACGTCCTCATCAGATCCTCTTTCTTCCATCCTGTCTACTTCTACATTCGACGCAAACACATTGAGTGCTATATCCACCGACTCTTCCTTTGTGTTGCCTAGTATCACTAAAAGTGCTTTGGTTGCCTCAGTAACATCTTCATCTACATTCGATGCATCCAACGTATTGCCTTTCTCTACATTGTCTGATTCATTGTCGCTATTACCATCGTCTACAACAGACTTATCTTCCTTGGCCAGTGTCACTACATCCTCATCTATCCTTTCATCAGCAATAGCTAGTAGCAGTAGCTTAATCCCACTCGCCTCTAGTGTAAGTATACAAATATTTCGAATGTTGCATTTACCTCATATTTTCTACCTGTAGATGGCGCCCACATCAACCAGCGTAATGCCTAGTTTCACATCAAGTAGCTCCGTATTCTCCTCTGCGATGCTGGCACCTAGATCTTCAATGATAATGGTAACAGCAACCACTGAAATTCCAACAGAGACAGAAATTGTTGTCGATGGTATGACCATTACAGTTACTACCGTCATTCCTACAACGTAAGTAGCAGTGTGCTGATACTTCTTATGCAATACGTACTGATATTCCCCTTCATTAGCACCTTAATCCCATCATTAGCAGCCGATACATCGGATATCTCGTCAAATAACAGTGGCCATGCTTCTGGTGGCACCATTGCTGGTGCTGTTGTTGGATCTGTGGCAGGTGCTGCGTTGGTCGTTGGTGCTGCTTTATTTGCTCGCAAGAGATACAAGCGTGGTGTGCAAATGCGTCAGCAGCAAAATGAGTTGGATAACGAAGACTTTTATGCGGATCCATATCAACAAAATGGAGAATGGAATCAGCAATTCGTCGCTGGTGGTGGAGGTGGAGGTGGATATCGAGATTATCCTGATGAAGGAGGTGTATCTGCTGCTGGTGATGCTGCTGCCTCTCGAGGAACTGCCCCGCCCCTTCCTCGACATCAAAACACATACACTGCTGGTCCAGGTCCACAATTGGAGTCCATGTCGGATGAATACGATGAATATGGTCATCCTAGCAGAGAGTCGTTCTGGACATCACTTTCTGAAAGATTTAGATCCTTACGTCGCTAAACAACAGTTTTGACAACATGTTGCATACTACAATTTATACACTTATTATATAATAAATACATTTACCTTTGAATATACCGAGTATTGGTTAGACAAAAGAGTTTCTAATGCAAAAGAAGCGCCCTCTTCAAAGCATTTCTCTTTTAAATACCACAACTTGCCAGGTACAGAAAAAATCACGCCTATTTAAACATCGGTTGTACAATGAACTATCGACCGGAAAGTGTCACGTCTTTCTGTAAGCAGAGTTGCGGTCTATAAAGAGATGAATTCATTCGTTGGTGGGCTCACGGTCTGCTTTGTGCTTTGTCGAAAACAGTGTCTTAGAGAGTCTGGTGTCAACATTCGAGTTCGAGCGTAGGCTTGAATTGGGAGGTTGTTCAATACTGGGGAAACGCCCGAGGGTAGCAATACAGCAGGGAAAACCCAGAGCACTGGTTCGGCTGTGAGATAGCACGTTGGAGAAGCATTTAAGTATACTACCACTACGGATGGGAACTCCCTCTTTTTGCATTTTTTTTTTTTTTTTTTTTTTTTTTTTTTTTGATAAACGAATACTGTCGCGAATAGAGATATGGTTTTTAGAGTAGACTTCAATAAAAGATCATCTTTATTGTTTTGTCAAATGATTTGATATTTATACTAATTTAAAGATTGCACACAAAGTCTGTGTGTACCTGACAATACGAATCGATATGTCTCTAATATTCAGTTATTTGTTAACAATCTATTTTATCAATCAGTCCAGTCTGCTTATCCAAATCTTATATTCCAACATATATTCAGTAATCAACCATTGCTGTAAGCAAGTTTGTAGTAGTGTGTATATTTTAATGAAAGAATTTGAAAAGAGATAGTATATTAGCCAAAACAGATCCAACTATCAAATGAGCACTAGACAAACCTCAAGCCCCCTTTGTTTGCATTAGCAAGCATGCACATGAGATTTTGAGGAAGAAGGACGACAGGCCTAAAATCATATTAACAAGGATGCTCACATTTGGCTCAGTCTTCAAATGAGATTGGAGCTGATTGTTGGTGAAGACAGGCGCACTCAGAATCTGCCAACTGTCAACGAGATTGCAGCCATCATTTCCAATGAATATTCTGATACAAATTTTACAGATATCCCTATCACATACCGAAATAGCCTTTCGACCAGTATCACTTGTCTTGTTTGAACGATTCAAGGAACACTTACTGCGTACATGTTATGTTGAAATGCTGCAAATCAAAATGAAGTTGCGATTATATATATTTTGGTGACGAGCCAGACTAGCTGGCGTTATCAGATATAAAAATGACAAAAAATAGCAAATGAAATAACTCAATTTAATCTATAGCTCTTCTAAACTCATGTTCCCCATTTAATCAGCATCGCAATCAGCATTGTCATTATCAGAAAGGCATTTGGGCCAGCCAGCAGCAGTGCCGCTAAAATCAATTGAAGCTCAGTTTGTTTCTCTGTTCAAGATTGGACAGAATTTGTTTTTTTTTTTCGACTTGATTGATCTACTTTGCGAGATTCGACTATATAAACTGTAATGATCAGCCCGTACTTCCTAATACGTTCTTGGAGTACGTTTCAAGGCGCTTCCAATGGTACCAACTAAGATAGATGTTTTGAATAAGCTTATTGAATAATTTATGGAAATATGAAAACAGGTTTCTGGCCAAAAAGTCGAGATTTTTCATATCAAGGTCTGACAGGGATGATTTCAGGGGTTGCTTTGGACCAGTAGCATCATTTTGATTCAATATATACCATAGTAAAACTCTTCGTTATCAAGGCAAAAAACGCGGTCGTTTGATTTTCGATGAAAACCATGAAGTACCCCCTCATGCTTTTTGGTCGATTTTTGGCCATGTTTTTTTTGGCCCAAAAAGTTTAGCAAAGGTGCGGAGAAGTTACTACTACTCAGATACAATTGTTTGGCATCATTCCGTGGTTAGAGTTCCGTGGTTAGAGTAGGCCTACATATCAAGATATCAAGGCTTGAAAGTTGTCAAATTTGGCTGTGTTTTATGCATTTGCTTGACAACAAGCGCGTTTTCGTTATGATACAAAGGTGTAAAGGCATTGCATGCATTAGTCTAGTGTAAAGACATTGCATGCATTAGTCTAGATTCAGAACATGCTGTTACACCCATATATTCGGCTGGATGGTTCCAATCCAACACGAAAAGACAGCAAAAATGCCCATTCCAACAACGTCCGCCTTATCTGTTCATTTAAAACGTAATAATGATGAAGAAAGTTTGAACAATCGGTAGCATGAAGGTGAGCAGAAGGATGGGCATAAAGATGGACACAAAGATGGATATGACTGGAATGATGGGCATCTCTACATTTCTATAGCCCCATCTTTATTCCTACCCTTATTCAATTGAATGCTCGGCTTTTTAAGCAGCAGGATTTTCAAACATGAGTTTACGATGCTGTTGGTGGTTTATTAAGATATTTACAAAAAGATGTGTACAAATTGTATGCAAAATTATTTAAAATGAACGGTTTAGATATCTGTTAGATCATCTAGGGTAGATGAAAGCGGTTTCTTGGCTCGAAAAAAGTCTGAAGGTGAGTATTTCTTGGTGCTTAATGAGCTTTCAAGAGAAGCAAGCGTAGATTGGGCGCGCTGCAATGAGATCTCCAATTCCTCGTCAATGGTACTTTTATGCCGCACTAGTCTCGCGCGAGCAGCAATTGTTCGCTCAGTGCTCTTGATAAAGTTCTTTTCCTGGTCAATCTTGTCTAGCAAAGCTTGGTTCTTTTTGTGCGATATTTCAAATGCACTATTGAAGTAGGTTTCATGAGTTTCTGGTACATCAAAAATTATTTAATATTAATTACCTGTCATACCCAGTTGTGTTTTTCAAGTCTGAGAGAGAAACATCTACAGGCTTTTCAGAGTAGATTGATGCCATCAACTTATTGGTTACGTTTGACTTGGACAAAGGCTGTTTTCTTGTAGTATGTAAATTACTTAATCGACCGCTGTCAGGATGATTCTTGAGCATGGATACATCCGCATCACAATTTCTGTCTGTTTGATCCACCATGGACAAGCCATTCTGTTGTTGCTGTTGCTGAAACGTATACTTTTGGTAACATTTAATCTCTCTCTTCAATCTGATCACTTGCTTTTTAGCATAGGCAAGTTGGCTTTCTGAATTCTCTAGTGCTTGTTGAGCATTTCTCAAAGAATCTCTTTCTCGTTGCCACATGGTTGATAGGATGGATCTACCTTCTCCAGGTGAATTCAGCGCTGGTGTTGATGATGTAGCAGGTATGACAGGCAACGATTTGACGGATCTCTTCATTGTTCTGTCGTTAGCCATCTCCTTGACCTTTTGTCGTTCCAATTCTTGCTGAAGCTGCTCGCATTTTTCTTTCGCTTGTTGTATCAAATGATTGAAGTCATTTGCTTGCTCGCTCAATTTCTGGCTGTAAGTTTGTTCAATACTTTGGCTGCGTTCTTTCTCGTTCTGTAGTTTGCTCTGGAGATCTTTAATATCTTGCTGGAGGGTTTGTAGTAGCATTTGTTTGTCAGTGTCGCTTTGTTGGATGCCCTCCAAGCTGCTCTGGTACTGGCTAATCTGCTTTTTGTATTCATCACATGTAGTGTTGATAGATAATAGATCTTTCTGCAAAACAGCGATTTTGTCTTGCTGCTGACTGATATTCTCTCGAAGCTGGGCGCTGTCTTGAATTTCTCTGCTGCGTTGTTCATTCTCGAGACGCAGTTCTTCTAAAGTTATCTGTAGCTTACTGTAATCAGTTTGAATCTTGTCCATGGCATCATTTTGCGATGTGATTGTATTAGTCAATTTGACGTTTTCTGCCTCCATTTTGCCTAACTGATGCTGTAATGCCGAAACAGATGCTTTCATTCGACTATTCTCCTCCACTAGGTCATTCATTCCACTCGATGAGCTCTTAAGGCGGCCATTTTCTTCTCTCAGTGATTGAACCAAATGTTGCAATTGCGTTTCTTTGTCCTCTAGTTCATCTAATTTCTGCTGCAAGGCCTTATTGTCTTCAACCTGCATGGTGTGCTGTGATTTCAGTTGTTCTATCTCTGATTTAAGCTTGCTTTTCTCTTCTTCCCATTGCTTCGGTTCTAGACTACCGCGTTTCTGTCTTAGTTGTGCAATAAACTCTTGGTTGCTGCTAGTTTTGGTGGGCTTCTCGACATTGGACGCTGTATTGTTGTAACTGTATCCAATAAACGGGTACTCTTTATCAAAGCTGTTCTGCTGATCTTCATCGTCATCGACGACAAAAGAACCCTGGTCCTCCTCTTCATCACCGTTTCCTTCCTCGTTGCTCGTAGCAGAGAAGAATGTCACATCATCAGGCGATACAATGGACGGAATGAATGGTGGAACACCGGATGTGCGCAGGGCATCCCAGTTGACATCTTTAAAAAAGGCGTGTGATTTGATTTCTGCTACACTTGTCAGTCTCTTATCCTTTGACTTGCACAGCAACCTACAGCAGCATTAGCACATTAAAATCACAGCGGATGCCTATTCAGCTCACCTTGAGAGTAGATCTCTGGCCTCATAGGAAATTTTCAAGTTGGAATCAAATTGAACTGAGACCTAATTAGGGAAAGAATCAACATCCACTAGAGCATGGTAAACTGCATGATATTCTGTGTTACCTTTGGGTTCAAAAGACTCATCTGAATCTTTACATCAGAGCCCGTAAATGGACGTTCGCCATACAAGAGTTCGTACAAGACAATGCCTACAGACCACCAATCAACCTCTGAGCCATAAGCGACACCGCCATGGCGAGAATCAAATCCCTCCGAATTGCACATTTCTGGCGAGACATAAGGCATTGTACCGACCATCAAAAGATAATCTTTTGTATCCAGAGATATGCACGATCCAAGATCACCCAGTTTGATGTGCCCCTTGCTATCAATTAGTATATTACCGGGCTTAATATCGCGATGCATGTATCCCAATTGATGTACTCGTTCCACTGCCAAGATCAGTTCAGCACAGTAGAACCGTGCCTCTTGTTCATTGAATGGCTGGAAAGATCGTCGCTCTAATAGGCCTTGCAGATCACCACCAGGAGCATATTCCATGACAAGATACAAATTCTTTTCGTCCTGAAATGATGCGTATAATCCAGGTAACCATTCTTCATTTTCGTTGGACAGTATCAGGCGTTCTTCCATTGGAGATGATCGATCCATCTGATTGATGAGCTTTGCTTTGCTGGATGTCTTCATGGCGTAAATCTGATTGTTTCGTGTGCTTTTCACAATGGTTACTTTGCCAAATGCACCCTCTGCAAATGAGTTTTCATGCAGCACTTGAAAATCTTTCAGCGATAGTTTTGTCTTGTTGATTTCGTGATAGACGGGTTTATCTACAAATCAACGTCAACCGATGCTACTTAACATCTGTCATAACCTATACTTACATAATTCAATAAATTTGTTCTTGGATTCTTGTTGACTTGAATGCTGATTGACTGCATTATTGTACAGTGATATTAATGCATCAATTAATGCATCTTTATGTGTCAATTGCTTGAAAACTCTTTGTTCTTTTTGAAAACGAAGAGTCAAGTTGCTCATCGGAATATTGTATTTTGACATGTTTATGCGTAGAAGAAATTAGAGAAAGAAAGATGGAAGCTTATTCATTTTTGAAAGGGAGTAATTGAATAAATATAAAAAAGCACATAAACATTCTCCTCCATTAGGCAAGTAATACAAAACAATAACAACAGAAACCAAGTCGGAGAAAATGCCCATCAACGCATCATACGGACAGCAATGTCGATTTGATCCATCCATGGGTGCCATCATATCTGATTTGAGGGTTATTTTACATGTTGCTATGGCAACCATTGTCGAGATATATCGTAATTGGACTTACATGTAAACAGCAAGAGCATTCAACATAGTGGGAAGAAAGCCTTCCGCAGCAATGGATGTCAGACACTGTTGCTGTGGCTTTACAACTTTACTACATACGTCGAAACTAGAAAGGAAATCAAAAGAATGGGGCATCGTTGCTCATTTGACGATAACCATTAGATTGAAATCTTGCAAAATTCAACACCTCAACTTGAATCAGAATGATCATGTATGTAATGATTGTGTAATTCATCTCTTTTTCGTTGTGTAATATCAACTACATGTCAAGCATAATATGGAACAAACTTGATTGCTCCTTGCCAACAAGCTTCATTACATCAGGTTCTTTCGAAGATCTCTGCATCTTCGTCTCTCTTGCTAGACTGACTTTGAATGATGGCCCAAATCTTGTAGTAAACAACAACCTATACAATGTACACACACACACACACACACACACACGCACACACACAACTCGACTAAAAAAGGGAGCCACACTCTCTTTTATCCTCCTTCTTTCTCTCTCTCTCTCTCTCTCTCTCTCTTTCATTTTCCTCTCCAACAAGCAACACTATGGCAGCCAACACGAACCTTCCCCCTGACCAAAGATATACACGTTTAGAAAAACTTGGTGAAGGTACCTACGCTACAGTTTTCAAAGGCAAAAGCAAGGTAACTGGCGAGATTGTTGCCTTGAAAGAGATTCACCTGGACCCAGAGGAAGGAGCACCTTCCACAGCCATCAGAGAAATCTCCCTCATGAAAGAACTTAAACATCCCAACATTGTACGTCTTCAAGATGTGATCCACACAGAAAACAAATTGACCTTGGTGTTCGAATTCATGGACCAAGATTTGAAAAAGTTTATGGATTCAGCTGCGCGTTCTACCTTGGGAGCCTTGGATGCCACCACCATCAAATCATTCATGTACCAATTGCTTCGAGGCATCGCTTATTGTCACGAAAACCGTGTATTGCATAGAGATTTGAAGCCACAGAATTTATTGATCAATAAGCACCACCAACTCAAATTGGGTGATTTTGGTTTAGCTCGTGCATTCGGTATTCCAGTCAACACATTCTCAAATGAAGTAGTTACGCTTTGGTATCGTGCACCTGATGTATTACTGGGCTCTCGCATGTATTCGACATCAATTGATATCTGGTCTGCTGGATGTATTATGGCTGAAATGTACACTGGAAGACCACTGTTTCCTGGCACAACCAACGAAGATCAACTGCTCAAGATTTTCCGTTTGATGGGAACACCCAATGAACAAACATGGCCCAACATTTCTCAATTGCCTGAATACAAGCCTGCTCAGGTAGTCTATCCACCTCAACACATATCACAGTTCTTACCCAACATCGATGCCAGTGGGTTGGACTTATTAAATCGAATGTTACAGTACCAGCCTCAGATGAGAATCAGTGCCAAAGATGCACTGAACCACACTTACTTTAATGACATTAGATACTTGTTCACTGACTGAAATAAAATAATTTTGTAACAAGAAAAAGCTTTATTATAGAAAGAAAAGAGAGAATATGAAAGGGATTGTGAATTAATAAGGTGTAATGCATAGTATGTATAAAGAATGAGTTGGAAGTAGAGGAGCAAGAAGAAATAGCGATGTGTTATTTAGAACGTATCATTACCAATAGTGTTGACAACCTGTTGTTGGCCATCCCAGTCAAATAAATCGTCCAATTTGAAATCTTGAATGACGATTGTGTTTGGTGAATACACAGAATCTTCGTCTGATGAGAAAGAAGGTGATAACATGGGTGATGGTAACTTGGCAGCTGTGCTGGTGGTAGTAGGTACTAACAAATCTCTTCCATACTGGCCATTCTCATCGTGCTTAGCAACCTCCGCTGCAGGGAAAAAAAATAGCCATCATAAACGAGCCAAGAAGGAGTAGAGCAATAGAGGATTCATAGTAGAACAAGTTTGTTATTTCCATTGGGTGGATTTTGGGTGGTGAGAAGACTTGTTGGTGGACTAATTCAGACATGATACTTGTTGGTAGTGGATGAATTCTATTGCGGTGCTCTTGTGTGGTTCATTCAATCAAGCATTCTTTCTTCGCGATCCGTGCTGAATCGCAAAAGTCGTTAAACAAGATGGGAGTAGCAGCATTGAATTTAATTTGTGCTTGCAAGTTTGCTAGTTGTCGAGTAAACGCTTCCAACTGTGAATTCAATATAGCATTCTGTTGTTCCAGTGTCTTTACACGCTTATTAGCCTTTTCGTTTTCTTCAGTGAGCTTTTTGTTGGTGGCTTCAAGATCAGAGACATATCTGCGCTTTTTATCACGAGATTCTTGAGCAGCTGCACGATTACGAAGAATTCTACAGAGTGGAATCAGTATACAATGTTATACAGGGGTGGCCGTCTTTGTGTAATTTACCTTTCTTTGGTCTTTTGATCTTTATCATCCAATGATAATCTTGACTTCTTGATCGAGACAATCGACTCTGAGGAGGATTGCTCGTTTTCAGATGAAACAGAAGAAGCAGAGGAGAAGGAAGCTTGTCTCTTTTGAGCCAAACCACTACCAGATGGATGGGTAGCTAATAAAGGATCCACAGTGAAATCAACAGGCAAGGATAACAGTTCAGCGAGAGAATCATTGACACCGTTGTTGCTGCTGTTGTTTGTGTTGTTGTTCATATTTAAAGTGTGTGTGTGTGTGAGCGTATTGGACAAATGTGATAAATACAAGACGTTGAATTTTCTTTTTTGGTTACTGAAATACCACCCAATGGAAATAACAAGTAATCAAAATGTAAGAATTTATATGAAAAGTCGACTAAAGAGAAAAAAAGGGTATTGCTAGTGATAACGAGGATTTTATAGCTCTTCCAGTAGATTCATCTGACACTCGACCAATAACATTGCAACACTTGTTTGATTATCCAGTGAACACCTTGTAAGCCCATCTCCCCCCCCCCCCTCTCCTCTTTACTAATATACTGCGGATGCTCAAGATTAAAATACATTTTAAAGCACACGATCCTGTCATAAATTAAAGCATTGATTTGATCCTTGGGGCTTTGATTATCTTTTGAATGGAATGATGGATGAGATGCGCTATTAAACGTGATCCACTGTACTTGAACAAGCATCTGATTTTCCCGGTAATCGCAATTCAATGTAAAAAAAAAAAAAAAAAAAAAAAAAAAAAAAAAAAAAAAAACGTTTGAACATTGCAAAGGAGGGCAATCTCCTTGTCAAGAGCCAATAAATGCATCATACGTTTGAAACAATGTTATGAATTCCCTAAAATATGGATTGTCTATTGAAAGCTGTGAAGAGGAAATGCGCCACAGATCAGACAATGTGTGATCATTTGAACATGCCTTTTTCCTACAATGCACTTGAGCGGCTAGAAACGCGCATCTAGCTATAGAATCACTAATACCACCTTAATACAACAGATGGCATTGCACCAAAGCAGATACTCCTATGTAAGGCACACAAACAGATGTGGACACAAATCAAAATAGCAATGAGCACCTACATTGCATGTACTGTAAACACGTATGCCTGTATGTAATATATCTCATTCATGTAAATGAACTCCACGTTGTAAATATGCGCATATTGAAACCCTGTGTAATGGAGCAATATGTCATTTGTATTTTTAGGATTTGCCTGTAGCACCATTACTATATTTCCTTGAGAGATGTGCTATTTTCTGAGTATATAGGGGTCTGGAGTATACTCACGGTAGAACTAACTGATAATGGCAAACAGGAAGTGCCACTTGACTGAATCACTTTGAAAGGACAACACTTGATGTACTATGCAAGCTGCAATCACGATATCATGTATTTGTACCTGTCAAGTGCAACTTTAAAATAAGAATGGTTCTAGAACTCTACTTGAAATAAACGAGTCGTATTTCAATTAGTAATCCAAGCATATAAGGCGTGTTACGAGCGATTACTTCATCCTATCTGCCAAGTGCTTGCTTTCGAATGATCCGTCATGGCTCTCATTGGGATGAATGCCCCCCCCCCATTGTAATGCACTCTGCTAGGGAAATCGCTCCAGAGCTCAGGTATGAGATATTCTACTTTGAGTGTGATTGAAATGTTCAACTGGTACGTGGTTTTATAAGCATGTGCTCCCAAGATCACACCAACGCCTTGCTCCCTGAGAGGCCATGTACAACAATGCTAATATATAAACGAGGAATGCTACTTTCTCTCATGCGCGAGGTATACCAAATCAAAAGAAAGTGAGGCTTTAATCATGCAAGAAGCTGTGATGAAGCATCAAAAGTCACATGCTCTCATTGGGACGATGAGATGTGTCTCATTGACAGCACCATAGGCTTTTCTCGCTGCGAGCGATTTGCTGCAGCCACTAGTGCATGCCATTCTTCAAGGTTGGTATGTGTCAACCGAATGATACAGATAGGATTCTATTCTCTTGACACTTATTTAACGTCAATGTTCGTTTCAAGATCATGGTGTAGGATATCCATACGTTTACAGGTTTCATGATTGCCTGTATGCTATGGCTTTTGTGTTCAACTGATTTTGACAGATAACTGAATGCTAAAAAGGCATGGAATTAGCATTGCTCATGAGACAGCCATTATAAAATGCCAAATATTCAGACCACAATCTCTAAAAAGCGAGTACGTGATGCGATCATCAGGGAGGTCTCTATTGCATGTTTAGAATGTGCTCAGTGCTGCCAGATAATAATGTATACATATAATAGAAACATATATAGAGAGAAATAGCCCATTCCAGGTTCTTGCCATCAAGTGTGATGAGCATGTACAGGTTTCGAGCGTTTTCACACAGGATTTGTGGTCACTTCTACAGACAGTTGGCATACACGTTTTGAATAGCCGCACACTCCATCTGCAAAATGTTCATAAATTCGCCTTTCCTTCTTTACCTTTTCATTATCTACTTGGAACATAGAGAGAACCATGGCAGAGCTCCTTGTGTATGCATGTAATTGCTCGAATATCAGGATACACACATCGACAAAGTATTCGCTGGACAAGGTTGACGAATACAAGCAAGATCTCTTTGTAAAGGAGCCTTTTCCTGGCTGGGAATACGAACTCGGAATGGGTGGCATTGTTATTGTAATTTTGGAACCATAGCTACTTACAATCAGATGTGATGGTAACCTTCTTCTCTATATATCCAGGAATTCAATACATTCACTCGCTCATCATCCGTCGATCCCAAATGGACTACAGTTGATTGCTTGAATTGTAATACGGGTCATGTATACTCCATTGAGAACAACTCCAATAACACAGCGACTGATCGTGTGATTGTACATGAAAATACAGTTGTGAGTGTATTTGCTCTTTGCAATAGCACTATGAGATACTCATCTGGTATATAGTACGGCCGAGCATTCGAGGATCTGAAACAGCAATCCAACTATTCCAAAGCATTCAACATGAACCTCGACACTGCACAAGATCATCTGATACCAATGCCGGGTCCTGAGGAAGGTATGATGATCGATTTCATGGCTTAAATTTGACAGATCCTCTAACAGCTATCAGATATTCCTGAAATTCTTGCTTCAACGCAGAAAAAGATGCAATCCATCTTGGATCAGTATTTGGAGCAATTGCGCATAGAATCCAAGGTGCGAATCGAAGCGTTCAAGAAGCTAGAAGAAAAGAAAACTCAGGATGCCATCGCCCAAATCAAACGAGAAAATAGCCAACTATGGTCCAGGTTGGTCAAAGTGATGGATTCTTCGGGCGAGGAAAAGGAAGAAACAATCGTGTCTTCTTCTCTGCCAAAGACGCCTTCATTGCCCGAGCAACAGCCAAAGGAGCCTCAAACAAAAGCAGCCAATACAAATAACCATGTCAGATTTGCAGAGGAAGTGGACAATAACCAGCAAACCTCATCACCCGTACCATCAATGAAGAGGTTCAGTTTCTCTTTGGATGAAGCAGCTATTCGTGGCCTCCAACACAAGGATCTGGATAACAAGAACTTGAACCTGCGTGTGGAACAACAGCACAGTATTTATGGTAACGCTCGTTCGCTGTGTATTAGTCAAATGCTAAACAAAGTGACATAGACAACGAGGATGAAGATAAAGACGACGATGAGGAGGACATGTTTAATCTGGACGAGGAGTTCTCTGATGAGGAGAAAGAAGGCGTGTATGGAGAAGAGGATGACGATGATAAGGACAGCAAGGACGACTTGGATAACAAAGAGGATACAGATCAAGAGCAGACACAGACTTCCTCCAAGGACTTGCCGCTGTCTGCTTCCTTGAAAAAGTCAATCTCAAATATAGACCAGCAATTCTCCTGGATAAAGAAGAAGAGAAACACAAACAAATATCTAGCGCAAGATTTTGACATCAAAGGCGAATTTAGAAGAAACAACTCGAATGATCATGATGAGAGAGACTCAAGTAAGTCTATTATCATGTGGCACGATGCTGAGATTTGCTGTTGACAGCTATGTTGATGTAGATATTTCCATGTTGGCCACCTCAATGCCCATCACTATCCATTATCCCTCTTTGAAAAGCCAAGGCTCTGCCGAGAGTAGTCAGGACGATACCGACAAAAGCCCAAAGAAAAGAGACATTTTGGTGTCTAGTTTTGCAAACTACGATTCCTCGTTTTCCGATAGAATGCTATCTGAGCAGTTCCCGCCACCACCTAGAAGGAAAAGTGTGGCATCTTCAGCGTTGATTCGACCTCAATTGGATAGTTTGATTGGCAAATCATTGGATACCCGTGGCCTTTTGAAGAAGAAGGCCAACGAAGTAGAGCCCAAAGAGACGAGCGATGATGAAGAATTCGATGCAACTTTACCGCCTCATGTCTGGGCTGCTTCGTATGAACCTTCAGATATTTAAAAAGTTTCTTTTTCTACCCTGGATTGAAAAACAATAAAATATTGGTTCGCCGAATTGTCCTACATTTTCTACGCCATCCCCCTCCCCCAGTTTTGCTCTTTTCACTTTCATTTTCGAAATCTCAACTTACAATATGTCAGAAGCTGCCAAGTCCTGCCCTGTGGATCATAAACAACCAGAACCAGCATTATGTCCTGTTGACCACGGACAAAAAAAACAAGAGGAACCCAAATGTCCTGTTGATCACAATTCGTACAAACATTTTATTCCACCCACTGCATCAAAAAATGATGAACCACAAAGCTGCCCCGTAGACCCTGCAACATACAAGAATTTTTTGCCTCCCCCAAAGGAAGGATGTGATTCCACTGCTATCGATAGCACAAACAATATGCCAAAAGTCTCACAGCAATCGCCCCAACCTGATCAGAAGATGCCACTCGGTAAAGAGAGAGAAACATCCACTATTCCTAGAGCAAATTCTGATGACAAGCTGTGGATCTACCCATCTGAACAAATGTTTTTCAATGCTATGAGACGTAAGAACTGGAATCCAGAGGAGAAAGACATGGCAGTAGTGGTGCCAATTCACAATGCTGTCAACGAAATGGCATGGCAAAAGATTTTAGAATGGGAGAAAATGCATGAAACGTAAGTGAATACATGGATAGTAACGATCCACATCAGAAGGATTGAATCTGTGTAAATTCAATAGGGAATGTCAGCAGCCCATGTTGGCCAAGTTTGAGGGAAGACCAAAAGATATTACACCTAAAGCAAGAATCAGATCATGGTTCGGGTAAGTTACATAGTAAAAACTGGTATATACACTTGTTACTTAACTGGATGTTTGCCAGGTATGCTCTTCCATTTGATCGTCATGACTGGGTTGTGGATAGATGTGGGGAGAAAGTGACATATGTCATTGATTTCTATTCTGGAAAGCAGGATCCCAATAGACCAATGTCTCTTAGCTTCTATCTGGATGTTCGTCCTGCTGTTTCACCATCAGGTGTTTGGGATAGATTGAAAATGTCCTTTAAGAAGGGCTCTTTTACTTAGATGATCAGAGCTATATTGTATATTTATAATGTCGTGGCTTTTATATCCGCATATCAATAAAACAGCCTTTAGAAATGAAAGATGGCCGCTTTACAATCTGCATCCTCAACTGTTAACTGTAGACGGCTTAAGTATTGTTGCTAGTAAAGCGCTGTACCAGCTTTTATTTAACGGCAGCAGGACGATGATGGTACATTCACTCAATTGTGTAAAACAAGTCGGATATGATGTCGAGTTACCCTTCTTCACCACGCAGGAATGTAGAAGAACTCATACGAAATTCAGTCCACTACGTCGTCCACTCTATTAGATGAATGAAGATTGCAATTTGCTTCGAAATTCGGTTATCGTAGCATATCTGAAGAAGTGCAGCAGTATCAGTCTACAAACATCGTTTTTCAAATGCAAGGAAAGTAGGTGCCCTCATTTAGCGCTGTCCACGAATAGAATGATTAAACTAGCAAACATGTCTAGCATTCAAACATGGTGTGGTCAAAAAAGAACCCTAAACGTGAGGTACAAGAGGCACAGTTCGCTTGTTTCATTCATTGATTTAGCGATAGTGATAGTCCCCCAGTATAGGTAATCTTCTTTCTCACTTAAATTTCCATTTTAATATCAGCGTCTTTAATTCATATTACTTTAAATCAGATCTATTTCTCTACTTGAATAAACGAAAATTTATATTGCAACTACAGTATTTAGAAGCACTTTTATTATTACAAACAAAATAACATGATAAATGCTAGATCAATAGGAAACCAACTAGTTGTAGACCTTCGCTGCTTCGATCGCTCAGCCAATCAAATTGCTTGAAAACTCCGCTGATCTAGAAAAAATTTTGCGAGGGTTTCCCCCTGTTTTGATGTGAGGCAAAATTTTAAGCTCCGCTATACATAGCAATATAGCTGTAACTATCATCAAACTTCCCTCAGGTGCTAGAGCATGCCTTACTTACACCACCTAGCTTTAAATTCAGGCATTGAGACCCTCAATCATCACTAAAGTAAGTAGCGATAACCAAGTGGAGGCGGCCTATCCACCTCCTGGTGTCGGATAAAGTCTTGTTGAGCTTCAGTGATAGGCACATCCACCACAACGTAAAAAAGGTATGCTTCAAAGAAACATAATAATATAAAAAGAACGAAGAAAAGAACATGCTACAATACTATAGGAGTATAGTAGTATGTAGGCAAAAAAAAAGGAAGAATGCTCACACGAAGCAATTCAAAGAAAAGCAAAACAAATACAACATCAAAGATGTTTAAAAAAGCTCGTTGCTGTTGAAAGAACAATGCATACATGAGCAACGCGCATGGTAGTAATAGTCTGATGTAAAGCAACATGATTCAAATACACACTGTTTAGAATAACAAAATATAGACAGAGTAAATACAATTAGAACTGAATATATTTATTATGTTATTCCAAGATTGAATAGGGATCAAAACTAGTGTAGATATCAAAGGTATTTATAGTTATTTGACAGTGCCGCAGCAATAGGACCTTAATCTTGAATGCGGGATAATTGTATAAGCCTTGAACCAGTAACGAGGATGTGCTGCATCAGAACTCATGAACCACCAGTCAAGGATAAACAACAAAGATGATCCAGGATAGAATGTTCTTCCTAATAGCTTTGACGGAAGAACATTTGTCGGAATTGAAACCCACTTCCAGGGACGAAAGACCATAGGCTACCACTCTCTAGGAACCAGGATATAGATTAGCCATTTGATGGCACCACTCATGTTCCTTCGTGCTGCTTGAATAAAGACCTCTCGCTTCTACTATGCATCTCAGCTCATTCTCAAATCCTCTTATGTAATAAACGACGCTTAATACATTTGCCTCTCAGAGATGATCTATATCCTCAACATTCGTCCCCACCAGAATCGATAATACTGCAAGAATTGTCGATTCGATAAACACTACATCACAGGAGATAGATCACACAAGCTTGGCTCGTTGAAATACTTCCTATGTGTTATCATGAATTCGGAACAATGGCCATTAAAACATCCCAATCAATGTAAAACCCAATGGGAAAAAAAACAATGATCAGGTAAAAAGGTACACTGCTACCACAACACATGACAACACCCTCTCGATCACCACTCTTACCTCGTCCCCACTGTCGCTCACCTTCCCACTTATCCTGTCTTCTTCCTAACATAAGTGGCCCGACGCCGCTTCGCTGGGGATTGAGGAGCCCCCGCCTGATCTGCTTCCCCAGTGGCAGCGCGTTTCCTCTGTTGCTTACTCGGCATTTGAGCCACTCGCTCTCGGATGCGCCCTTCTTCTTGCTTCTGCAGCTGCACATGCTTTTGCCAATATCTTTGCAAAATATGGGGATCCGATACATCTTCTGCAGTTATCCACGAACACATGCGTTCACCATAGCCCTTCCATTTGATGAGATACTCACGATTCGCTGCTTTGCCCCTATGATCTCGAATCGCCTCAATTTCGAAATACTCATCATCAATGGCCTTTTCATCTATGTTCACCACCTTTAGCTCGGATGGTACATAGTTGCGATGAAGAATCTCATTCATTTCATCCTTCAACTCGTATGACCCGCCTTGATTTCTACGAATGACCGTATATGGACCATCATAAATGGGACTCAACTTGCTTGGTCGTTGACGTATCTTTACCATCACATGAGCACCCACTGGAATGTCCACGAGCATATGCTTGTCATTAAACCTCTTCTGCATAATCGCATTCATCTTGGCCTCTCGTTCATTGATCGCTGGAAATACCACCTTGTGCATGTAGTCAATACGCTCTTCAAGCTCTTTTACTGACGTGATATCCTTAGGGATCGGGTATTTGTCTTTGTTGGCATAATCCTCTGGCAGTGTAACTCGCCTGGCAAACATCAGCGAGAACGGCGAAGTCATCGACTTATTCTTGATGTAACGATTACAACAAAGCTGCACAATTGGAAGGTAATCGCTCCATTCTCGCGCATTAGAGTTACACATTTTTCTCAGCGTATTCATCACAATTTTCACACTCGCCTCCGCACTCCCATTACCTCTGGCTGCGTATGGGGTAGAATAGTTGCGCTGCAAACCTAGGTTCTCACTGATTGCCTGAAGCAAGTGATTCTCGAATTCCCCACCATGATCGCTCTGCATAATAATAGGAAATGAGTAATCCCCAAACACCTTAATCAATTCTCTAGCAATGCTCGTTGCTTCCTTCGACTTTAATGGGCGCACAATCACATACTTGGTACACAGATCTGTGACAACCATTATATACACATATCCATCAAAGGTCATCGTCATTGGGCCACCCAAATCCACTGACACATGCGACATCGGCTGAAGCGAAACTACATTCTTGAGCGGATGCCACCCTCTCTTTGCAATATTGTGCTTCTGACATTCTGGACAGCTACTGACCAACCTCTTAGCATCTTCATACACATTAGCCCAATGCAACCCTTGCGAGTGCAATTCTCTCACAATCGCCTGTGCGCCATAATGCCCAAACATGTGAATCTCTTGTAAAATCTCATCTCGCTCTTCCTCAGGAGGTGTCATGTAATCAAGATCTTCCTTCGCATTTTCAATCACTTGTGTGGCAAAGATATTTACTGCTTGATCTTTGCTATACCGCTTCTTCTTAATCATATTTTTTGCACCACGATTCTTGCGATTTTGCTCATGTCTCTCCCGACTACGCTCTTCACTTTCCTCCACTATTAACTGCGTACTCTCATTCTCCACAGGTGGATATAGTCTGCTCAATAAATCCGGAAAAATGTTCATTGCTCCTGGTAAATGCACGACTTCAAATGTAAAATCTAGGATAGTCTCAATCCATCCAGCCATCATAGGGTTTACCACTTTCTGAGAATGCAAATACACTAATGCTCGATGATCTGTCAGTACCCGGAACGCACGCCCATAAATGTACGTTTGAAACTTCCGCAACGCCAACACAATCGCATACAATTCTCGCTTCGTTGTGGACCAACGACGCTGCGCTGGACTCAGTGTGCTTGAAATAAAACCCACATACTTATGACGCCCCTTGTCATCTTCTTGGTAAATCACAGCCGCTACTCCATACAAACTGGCATCACACGCAATAATAAATTCCTTGTCGAAATCTGGGTAATTGATCAACAAATCCGCTTGCAATATCTTCTTAATTGCCTCAAAACACTCTGTATGTTGATTCGTCCAGTGCTTCATCACATTCTTGTTGTCTTTAATGAGGTCCGTGATTGGAGCCGCCACTCTATAGATCATTGGAATATGTGAACGCAAATAATTCACTAATCCCATGAACTGCTGCACTTGTTTCTTGGTTGAGGGTACAGGCCAATTCGCCACATTTGTACATTTGGATTTGTCTACTCGGATGCCCTTTTCATCGACCACAAAGCCTAACAACCGCACCTTTCTCTGCATAAAATGGCACTTGCTCGGCTGTAAAATCAATTTTGCCTCTGTAAGCCGATCAATCACCGTTTTTACGGCTACCTTGTAATGCTCAAAATCCACGCCAGCGATAATGATATCGTCTAGAAAATTCTGCGTAGTAGATACCACTCGTCCTGACTCGTCACGCACTTGTTGCAATCCTGCTAGCAACGTAGATAGTGTAAATTGATACTGGCTTGGCAGCTGGCATAATCCAAAACAAGCCTTCAAGAAATAATATCCTTGGCCGTTAAAACTAAAGCTACATTTAAATTGGCTCTCTTTTTCAATAGGAAATCTGTGGTAAGCATCCTTCAAATCCGTGGTCCCAAAATACTTCATACCACTCAAGTTCTCAAAGATGTCTTTTACTAAAGGAATTGGGAAATTGTAGGGAGGTGGCAAAATACTATTCAACAAACGCACATCCAGACACACACGATGATCCACTACATTTCCCAACTTGTCACGCTTTGGTACCACCAGCAAAGGGCTATTAAAGGACGAATTGATTCTCGAACGTCCGATCGTCTTGGTATCCAACCACTTTTG